ACAAGGATCAATTAGTAGCTTAATAGGAGCTACCTTGATTTTTGCCGACTCGAGATTTACCTTTACTGTATTATCAGCACTAATTACTCTTATATACACCACCGCTGCATATGCGATAATTATTGAAGCATCATAAAACCTGTGTTATTCGACATGAAGGTTATTTTCTTTGTTTTTTAGCCATCTCGAGACTACAATATGGTGAGTATTTATTAGACTCTTATGATATATATTCCATTCATTTAACAATTCGAGATTTCTAACATCACTTGTCTCTCGGTTACAGTTGCCACTTGCACATGTACGATTGCCGAGTATTTAAAACTATCAGATTCCCACGAGAGATCACCTAACTTAAAATGTTCATTTACCATTATCTTTACTTCACTATATTGTTCTTCCCCTATAATTTTCATTGCAAGCATTGTATTTATTATTCATCAATTTCTGTAGTCTAAATTCTCCTTTTACCATTAATCTTTCCATTTCATTAAAGTAAATTATCCTTCGTCGCGGGCTAGTTGGTGTAGAGCCTTCACAGCAACGCGAGAAGTAGAAGCTGTCTCGAATGTCAGGCTTACTAATTTGTAATTCTTCATTTCAGACTTCGAATCAATGTGCCACATCAATCTTTGGAAAATAGTATCTTCAGGGACAACCACTACCTGCCGAAACATTTTTATAATATCAACGCATAATACAATTAGGTATTTCATAGTAAGGAAACATAATTTTGGATGAATAGTTAGGTCTTATCATTAACGTATTATTGAGAGAGAATTCGTTTGTACCTTTGCAAGCAGATCTTAGTGCTGGCTCTGTCTTCTCGTAAAGCTGTGTGATGTAAAAGGTATACAGTTTCAGCTTGAATCATAGTACCGTCAACACTAGCAAAACTATTTTCATGTGTCAAAGATCAATATATTTTTGACCTGATACAATCCTACCTAGGCATGTGTTCTGTGCTATTGGAGGCCCTAGAGTGCATTTTATTAAACCGACTTTTAAAACCTGACCTATAAACTTCAGCTCCAAGCAAAATGTCAACTTTGTTTTTTTTTTATTTATTATTATTGGTTTTTTTTTCTTCTTTGTTGTTATGTTCTTTCAAATCTGTTTTGTTTTCAATGTATGTATGCTGTGCAACCAATAAATGTTTTTCTTTCTTTCTTTGTTTGGTGTGTGATACTCTGGGTCAGCTAAAGCCATACTTTCTTGGTATAAATATCTTACGTGATGGTATAGTACTAGGCACGTAAGCCTGTACTAGTATATTGATGCCTGGATGAAACCCTGATATAATAAAATAGTAATATATACCATGAACTTAGAAGCCAAGTCTTTGTCGCTTCCTCTACCAGTAACAAAACTTCTGATATACATTTTCGTAAACTCCAGTAGTTGTACTGCTGATTCTGGTATTAATGAGGCCTAAGAACCTCGGTCCAACGGCGCACGTAAGGTTTGTTTTTAGCCGCTCTTCTTCAGACTGTCCTTCAACAAGGACAGTTTCAAGTAAGACTTATCCTGGGCCACTCTACTTTCAAGACATACAAGTATTAATCAACGATGGATCTGGTTCCCGTATCGACTCGGAATCAGAGTATATTTCAGACACTGTTGATTTTACTTCATCGCTCTCCACATTACTTTTGTTATCATTATATTTGAGGGTAACTCCTGGTGTAATAAGGTGTGATGTTTTCGATTACAACTTTGACAATTGGATCTTGACCGACAGAATTTTATAGAATGATTTGCTCTTAAACAATTAAAGCATAAACCGTTCGTTTATACGAAATTATGTCGAGATTCATGATCTTCTATACAAAATAGCTTACAGTAACAAAATTTGTACTGCTTATTACAAAACGGACGAGTAGAAATATTGGCATTAAAGGCAACTGTGTGAAGAGCTCTTGGTTTATTTACGGTTTGCCTATGTTTTGTATTTTTATCTCAATATTCTGAAGCGAAATCGTGATTCTAAAACAGCGTCCGTGATTCTAAAAAAGTGTAAGTAACTGTTCGGACGCACTGATTTTTTATTTCCACAGCTTGCGTGACTCACTGTCTTGTTTAGTAGAAATAATATAAATTATAATTACATCCCCAGAGCTTACATTAGCTCCTAGGGTACACAAACTGCAAACGATCTACAGTTGTGACTAAGACAATTTTAATGTTATTTGATGATTCTATAAGCACATTTGGTTGATTTATTAACCTTTTTAATATTAAGTTTGCCAAATAACGTTTATTATCTTAACACCGTTTCAAAATAGACCAATATTCCTCATTGTTTGCTGCAGTAATTGGCCTCAACAATTGCTCCTGTTCTCCGGTTAAATAACCCTTTCAACGATGTAATTTTTAAACATTATATTTTTTTTCATTGTTGTAAATAAACGAAAGAAATAAATCCCTAAATGAAGTCCATTTTATATAATCACCCGTAAATATTGGATTACTAACTTTCGGTAGTTTTACATTACTACAGACCTCTGTGTCTGATTGTATATTTAAATTATTGCTATGAGTGAGCTTAGCAATACAGTATTTTAATTCGGTTTTCTTATTCTATTATTTTTCTAAGATTTAAGTTCCTGTAAGATTCTAATCTTGTTTCAACATATGGTAATGTAATTCCTTCTGTAGTCATCGATTATCCAGAATTGTAGAAGGCCAAGGTAAAGGTGGTTATCCAGAGAGCTATAACATAGGACGTTATCAAGAAGGCCATGGCGAAGGCTGATATCTAGAAGGCCGTGGCGTTTTCCGTTGACTGTGGAAAAAAATATTTTTCAAAAATATGTTAACATTTATTTATTACTGCCCAGCTCTTCTGCTGTCTCTGAAGTCTCTTTCTACTGTTTTCTGCTATTAATTTATGTACACTCCGTTTCAAAACTTTTCGTGGGTAGTTCAATGGCGGCTACACGACGCTTGCTTTAATATATACACACATCAAGTAAGTTTGGGATCACTTTGAAAAATAGATTGTTTTTTATGTTACAGAAGACTTTTTTGTAATTTCTTTTTCTGATAAGATTCTTTAATTTTTAAATTATAATTAGAACGTAAAACAGTTAAATAATTGAATTGTTTTTCCATATAAAAATACATGCAATCCAAGCTGACATTCATTCAGAAATCTGACTTAGTCAATATCATCGAATTTAAAATATTTTTTCACGGATAATTGTGATTTAAAATATGCGACGAGGATTATCAGATGTTTTACGAGCTAGAATTGTAACTTTGAGGGAAGAAGCGAAACAACACGCAGAGTTGCCATATCCAAATCCTGTGTAGTAACCACGTTGCAGAGGAACCACGGCATGGATTATTTAGCTGATCGACTTGCAGTGGTCGCCTAACTCTTTTGACAGCTGCTCAGAAGCGCTACATCAGTTTGCTGGTAGCCCGCGACCCAACAATAAACGCCAATAAATTAAAAGCAGAAATACGGACTCACCTCAGGACTCCGCCTCCGGACTTGAAGTTAGCACTCCATCCATTCGGAATTGCTAACACAAGGCTGATTTACGAGCACATAGGTCTTGGCAAGCACCTTTAAATTCACGAAAACGTCAGCGACGGAGATTACAGTGGGCTAGGCTCCAGCAAAACGAAGAAGACGAAGAGGAAAACATTTGGCAAAACTGCCTCTTGGTTGACGAATTGAGAATCAGTACTCGTCCGGATAACCGACGTCTCCATGTTTGGAGAAGACCTGGAGAATCTGAAAGGCAAAGAACGGCCACTGGAACTGTTCAGCAAGGCGGGAAATCAGTGTCCTTTTGGGGTGGTATTGTGATTGGGGCTAGAACGCCTTTAATCCCTTATCAAGGCTTCATGACGGCTATTACTATTACTGGAATCGTCAGACCTTTCCGAGTAAACCATGGGCACCAATTTGTACTGGTTGGTGATTATGCGCACATCGAGCTCAACGAGTCAATGCTGCTCTCCGAGAATACGAAATCACAAGATTAAACTGGCCTGCCTGGCTCTTCTGACTTCAACCCAATAGAGCACACGTGGAATGCTCTTAAGCGAGCTGTTTGGAACCGGCAGCCACCACCCCAGACAGTGCCGCAGCTCAGGGAAGCTGCTGTTCAAGAATGAGACAAGTTACCACAAGAAAATCTATCAATGGATAACTTGATCCTCAGCATGCCCAGGAGGATCTCCGCATGTGTTCGAGCCAGAGGAGGAGTTATTTTGTATTAGATAAACAACAATTTATTAATAAAAGGTTTTTAAGTTTGGTTAAACTTTCTTTTTATTTCTGTCAAAGTTCTATTACAATCGAATTTATTACAATTGAATTATTATATTTTTTATACTAAAACACAAAATTAGTTTTATATTTTTATTTCAGAAAGTGTATTTTTAAATTATAGAAGATATAATGTGAACGTTTTCTTTTGATTTAGTTAAATTTTGAAAATATATCAGCTTTTGCAAGTGATCTCAAGCTTTTTTTGATGTGTGTATATTTGCACATATGTTCATAATATTTTTCAGTTTAATTCTTTAAATTCATTAGTTACAATGTTTTCATTTGATATTGACCATAACAAGCCTCCTCCTAATGCTCAGTGTATATGGAGTCTAGTGGCCATGAAGTTACCCTTGAATACGATATCCCTAGAAAATTTAATTTTATTCTTTAATTTATTTAACTCTTTGAAAGAAGTCGATGTACATCGATATTGTATTTGTACGTCACTAGCACTTAAAATTATTCATAGACAATTCTAGAATTTTATGAGATTATTATAGATTAATAATAAATTAAATGAAAATCATACGAAAATATATGTTAATGAATATACGGATATGTTTATATTTCCGATTATTTTAAGTTAACTTATTTTCATAAATAAGCAGATTTTAACAGATCCTCAGTTTTTAATAATATTTGAAAGTGAGAAATAGATATTCCTTGCCTTTTGAATCCGTCAGAATTTAAGAAAAAAGGTGTACGTCAACTTGACATTTCAGTGACAACACATACGTCGAAAATGGCTGACTCTGGGCCTAATAAAAGTGATATTGAAGCGATTTTTCAAAGATTACGTGCAATACCAGCAAATAAAGTGCGTATGCTTACTCAAGATTTGATTATAAACATGTGTTCAGTAATAATTATCATACAATTATCGCCTACAGGTATGTTTCGATTGCAATGCCAAGAATCCTACGTGGTCATCGGTGACTTACGGAGTGTTCATATGTTTGGATTGCTCTGCTGTCCATCGTGGTCTTGGAGTTCACATCACCTTCGTCCGGTCCACACAACTTGACACCAACTGGACATGGAAACAGCTCAGAAATATGCAACTTGGCGGAAATGTGAATGCGGTAAGTTTTCGTTATAACAAGAGTGAAGATGAGCTGATTGAGGGAGGTATTAAATTAAATATGTTTAAATGTACTGTGAGCGTTGATTTTAGTTTAAGGTGAGGTTTGTTTGTGTAGACGCAGTTCTTCCGCACCCACGGGCTGGTGACGGAGGATGCGCGCCAGAAGTACAGCTCGCGGGTGGCTCAGATGTACCGGGATAAACTAAACGCCCTCTCTGAGCAAGCTATGAAGACTTACGGGGTTAAGGTATTCTCATATTTCATATAAGGGGGCGTCCATAAATTACATGAGGTGTTTTTTTGGATTTTCTGTGCCTCCCTCCCCCCCTGGTAAGATGTCTTGAGATTTTATTCAACCCCCTCCCCCTTCCCCCAATCTCATGTCAGATTTTTCAAAATGTGGGTTTCTTTCGTAAACGCGTTGGATTGTTATTGTAAAAAGAAAAAAAAATGCTTCATGCTTTTATTTACGACTAATTAAGACTAGTAAGCAATATTGCTGAGAGTTATAAGTGTAATAAAAATTTAACAATAGAATACTGTGAAAAAAAATTGCGTGGTATTTGCCGAGACCCCCCCTCTCTCCAACGTAAGATTAGATGAGATTTGACTCGACCCCCTCCTCCCCCTAAACATCTCACGTAATTTATGGACACCCCCTAATTCAACAATATTTACTGTTCCAGTTTTTATATACTTAACATGTTCTTATTAACAATAAGTTATATCGTATTTATTGATCTAGTAATGTTCTGATTGTAGCTGCACCTGGATCCTGCCCCAGCAGAGGTGAAGGAGACCAAAGAACGTGAGGTAGACTGGTTCTCAGAGCACGGCGACCTCACCTCACCCACTGACACTGCCTCTAACCAGCTTGCTCCCACGCAGGTATGCCCCACGCGGTCCAGGGGCACTCACTTACATCAACTAAAAGGAATAAACAAATTTACAATACATAAAACATAAACCATTATGTTATCTGCTAAAGATTCTTAGGAAACATTGAAGAAATTTTAAATAAAATATGGATAACTTGGGCTTACAAAAAAAACTAATTTTGTTGGCCAATTACATAAGTAAAAATGACAGTATTGACCAAATTGGTGAAAGGCAAAGTTATTTAATTATTCAAAAGAGTTATTTCTCTAATTTAGTTTTTTTTATTCTTTGATAATAATATATTCATTAATTTTGATAAAAACTCAATCATCATTCAGCCATAGGTCAACTACAGCTGAGCATAGCACCCTCGTCCAGTAAAGATCTCTAAATTCTCAACTTTCAAAAAGAACTTCAACATAGGTACTAGTAATAGAATATTACTAGAGATGGAATTTGGTGTGTGATAATCAATAATACATTAAAGTATGATTGAGCTCTGATATTATCACACTATTACATAAAAATTGTGTAAAGAATGCAAAAAGCTATTGTGCAACACATTAAATATGAATAAGCAAGAAACTTAAAAATTGAATTTAATCATGTTTATAAATTGCTAAAGCGAATCACTATTTATTTTATTCAACATTCTATTAAATGAATTAGGTAAAGGGGAACTATTATTGGTATGTCATATGTGTGCTGTTCTGCATTCTAAATATTTTCTGTTTGCATTTATTTCTTAAGCCAGAAACATATTAACGTGTCGTGGCGTGACGTGGCGCATGGGTTTCATACATTTATTATGGGTTAGAGAGAGATAGATAGGTTAAAGCGTCGACACGACACGATACGTAAATATGTCTCTAACCATAGTAAATGTATGAAACCGATGTGCTTCTGGCGCGCCACGACACGACACGACACGTTAATATGTTTCTGGCTTTATTGTTGTTAGTTTTAATGTATAGAGTTGTATAATGGAAATTTCAAATATTTTATTGCATTTGCTATTACATGGAGTTTTTATGTATTGCCTTAAAGACAGTAAAACACAGATTGTGTATTATATTGAAAATTGAAACAATTTCTATGGCATTATCTCTACAGGTTTTGTGTTATTTTTGCAGTAAATTAAATATTAGTTGCTCATTAGTAACAACTCTCAACATAACCAGATGAGAAGTGATTTGTGAGTGGTTTTAAATTGCTGTGTTTTTGTTCATTATGTCTGCACCACTATACTAATTTATCAGCTTTAACCAAAACCCATTAAACTTCATTGATTAATACATATTTTATAATATTTGTGGTAAGTTACTCTGCTTCTTTAATATGATGAATTACTTGTTAGTTTCCTCACTGAATTTTAATAGCTATAAACTATAAATATAGCAGTTGGCTAATGAGTCATAATCTGACCATGGCACATTTCTTTAAATACAGTATAATACAAGGCCCTCACCTTTTTTCACTTTTATGTATACATAATGTACATGATAAAGTAAATGAAATTAACTCAAAGTAATGTAAAGTATGTGTACATAATTTATGTAACATCAAACTTAGTTATTAAAACTTCTAAAAATATCCTTAACTGTAATTACATGTATCAAATTCCAAAATAGATATATACAGGGTGTTACAAAATTACAAGTAAAGCTTGAAGGGCGTTGAAGTACATCATATAAGGAGTCTTCTCTAATTTTCTTAAAAAATTTGCAAGAAGTTTGAACTTTTTATAAAAACAGCTATTTTTAATGAATAATAAAAATATCGATCGTTTTAAGACACGTCACTAGTTCGAGGTCATGCACCTTACCAGGAGTAGCAATAAATCTGCTGTAATAAAGAAAATTAGAGAAGATTCCATATATGATGTACTCGAACGCCCTTCAAGATTTATTTGTATTTTTGTAACAACCTGTATAATGATTTTGTGAAAAGCTCTATACCATACAAGTTCGATTATAAAGCAATAGAATTTTAACCTGTAGAATATAGGTGTTTTGGGTAATCTGCTTGTATTCATTTGTTCCGTTTTTTTAACCCTTGGTATTGCAGGAGGGTAAGGGCGAGGAGATCAGCTCGGAGGCGCGACTGTGGGGCGCGCCGCCCCCCGGAGCGCCCGGAGCGCCCGCCGCCACCGCGGCCCGGCGCGCACCCAACAAGCGGCCCGGGGTAAAACAATTACACTCTATTTTGTTTCTTTCGATAATTATTTGGATAATTAATATGCCTTTGCTCATAAAATTATTTATTTCTTACATTTTTTTTAAATAAAACTAGTTTTTACGGGTTAATGCACGAAACTTTATTTATTTATTGACGTTTCGTAGCCTTTACAGGCTACGTCGTCAGAATCAAACTTTTATTTAATTTGTCGAGCTACCTTCGCAAGACTTTTATTGAGCGTTCGGTTATTTCATTGTTCGATTTTTAAAGTTTTACTTAATGAGTGATGTGCGTGAAAACATAAGAAACAAATATGGGGCATTCCACGCGAAGCGGACAGGTTAAAAAACTCGATGTTTCCGATTTCAGTAATATTTGAGTATGTTCTACTTATACTTATTATTGATACGTGTACCAAATATTTTTGTGATATATTGACTAGTTAAAGAGTAATGGGACTTTGAAGTTTTCGACAACCAGTTGGCATGCAGTACTTCAAAGCCGATTATGGACTCATAAAATTATATATTAAAATAACTAAATCACTGGATTTCCTACTTTATTTACTGGGCTTTTTAACTGTGTTTTTGGAATAGAAAAAAAAATTTTTTTTTCGTAAAAAAAAACCAATTTAAGTTTTTTTCCTTGATTTTCACCAAGTTAGACCATTTAGTTTTTTTTAATTTTTTTTATATAAATTGCTAATATTGTATAGAACATTGGTGCCAACTTTTATAATGGGCGTGAAAGTGGATTAGGAGCTAGACTGAAAATACTGCCGAAGGGTGGCGTCCAGCGCCGCGCCTGTTGACCGCCGCTTGTGCGCGATTAGTCATCAAACTGTCAATCAAATAAAATCACTTTTGACGGAATGTTTTGTAGATTTTTAATAAAACCAATACATAGAAAAAATTCCACGCGGACCAGGCAGCAGACGGGACTCGAACTCGCATCCTTTGCAATCCGGGCGAATGCACTGACCAATTATGCCATTGCCACCTGGCTAGAGGAATTTCGACGCGGTCCGTGAGGGCCGCGGTAGCATAATTGGTCAGTGCATTCGCCCGGATTGCGAAGGATGCGAGTTCGAGTCCCGTCTGCTGCCTGGTCCGCCTGGAATTTTTTCTAGTTATATTTTCTTTAGATTTAAACATCAAGCAGTTACATGCTTTAAAGAAATAAAAATTATAACTATAATTGCTATTTCTTCTTTCAAATGTTTAATACTTGTAAAAGTATTCATTTGACGTTGCGAAGAGATGGCGCTGCCTTGCAGCTTAAGAATGGCTAGAGGAATTTCGACGCGGTCCATGAGGGCCGCGGTAGCATAATTGGTCAGTGCATTCGCCCGGATTGCGAAGGGTGCGGGTTCGAGTCCCGTCTGCTGCCTGGTCCGCGTGGAATTTTTTCTATGTATTGGTTTTATTAAAAATCTACAAAACATTCCGTCAAAAGTGATTTTATTTGATTGACAGTTTGATGACTAATCGCGCACAAGCGGCGGTCAACAGGCGCGGCGCTGGACGCCACCCTTCGGCAGTATTTTCAGTCTAGCTCCTAATCCACTTTCACGCCCATTATAAAAGTTGGCACCAATGTTCTATACAATATTAGCAATTTATATAAAAAAAATTAAAAAAAACTAAATGGTCTAACTTGGTGAAAATCAAGGAAAAAAACTTAAATAGGTTTTTTTTTTACGAAAAAAGTTTTTTTTTCTATTCCAAAAACACAGTTAAAAAGCCCAGTAAATAAAGTAGGAAATCCAGTGGTTTAGTTATTTTAATATATAATTTTATGAGTCCATAATCGGCTTTGAAGTACTGCATGCCAACCGGTTGTCGAAAACTTCAAAGTCCCATTACTCTTTAACTAGTCAATATATCACAAAAATATTTGGTACACGTATCAATAATAAGTATAAGTAGAACATACTCAAATATTACTGAAATCGGAAACATCGAGTTTTTTTACCTGTCCGCTTCACGTGGAATGCCCCATATACAAAATTTTTACTGATCTATGCGGGAAATACTTTATTTGACATCTTATGTTTGTATTTTACTAATATAATAAGGACAATTTTTATGTAATGTTACTTCTATTAAAAACTGATAAGTTTCTTCTGCGTGTTCTTGTCACCTAACAGATGTTTTGAACAAAGTGAATAGGTAAATTCAAAAGAGTCTTATGGCAACTTGAATAAAGTTTATTTTTGTTTACTGTTTGGAATAATCGTAACTAACATCGTGTTTAAGGAAAGAATTGAAGTATTAAGTTGTTGATTTATTGATACATTGCAGTTGGGAGCTCGAAAAGGATTAGGCGCAACCAAAGTAGCAACAAATTTCGAGGACATCGAGCGAGAGGCTATCATGGCGGAAAAGTTAAAAATGGAGGTAAATGTAAGTTACTAGCTGACCCAGCGAACTTCGTACCGCCTTAAAAAAATAGGGGTTGGTGGTAGAAAGTTGAAAATTTAGGGATGTATGTATTTTTGTATGATGTATCATAAAAAAATAAAAAAAAAAAATATCTAAAATTGAAAAAAAAAATTTAGGGGTGGATTACCCTTAACATTTAGGGGGACGAAAAATAGATTACATCTGATTCTCAGACCTACTGAATATGCATATAAAATTACACGGAAATCGGTCGAGCCGTTTCGGAGGAGTTTAACCACAAACACCGCGACACGAGAATTTTATATATTAGATTGTTTTGTTTTGTACTATTAAAAGTTATTGGTGAACAATAATATTTTTTACTGCTTAAAGAACAATGCCAAGTTGCTATAACTTTGGCTAAATATAAAATTTTCACGGACAGCAATGAAAGTAGTTTTATTGTGTGTAGTTTAATAACTAAAGCATTTACAAAACATTAGAAATTCTAAAGAACTTCTAACAAATACTTAGATAATACAAATATAGAATTTTGAGGTTATTTAAATTTGACGATCACCATGGTGGTGTGGCTTGCACACTGATTTTCATGGTTCTCTCTTATCTGGGTTCCCAAGTTCGCTTATCCATCTCATTGACCCAGAAAAATAACCATTTTTAGTGTCATTTACTGACTAATCTTATGGGTCCTTTGAATATAAATTGAGTTTTATTTACACATTTGTGCATTGCTGTTTTCTTAAACTTTTCAAGTTCCACATTTTTTCTTTGGTATATAGATTTTTCTTGACTCTAAGTCTGCGAGGTAGCTGAATTCAGCCAGCACAACAGACAGGGTATATTGGTTAATGTGACATGCCTCAATGTTGGCCAATTTTATTTTAAAATTAAACTCATCATCATCATCATCAGCCTATTAATGTCCCCGCTGCTGGGGCACAGGCCTTGCCTATGGATGGAATAGGGAGATTGGGCCATGACCCACCACGCGGGCCCAGTGCGGATTGGTGGGTGCTAACGACTGCAGATGCAGCCGGGACCAACGGCTCAACGTGCCTTCCGAAGCACAGAGGAACTCGAGATAGTAAATTTTTAAACTAAAATAGTAAATTAAACTCAGTCCTCCTTATTACAAAACATTGACTAAAGTTAAACCTGGACTTAAAACTAATTCTGTCTTATTCCAAACCGTGGACTTAAGTTAGTAATGGTTTAAGATTAATACTGTTTCTTTCCTCTTTTGCAAGCAAACAAACGTGGCAGCATCAGTTTCAAACCAGAATATTTTTTGTCCATATTTTGGAATAAAGCGGAGTGTATTCTCTATTAAGTTTTTCAAGTTTGGAGATTAAAAGGAAACCATACTTTGCAGTCAGCCATTTTATTTAGCGGAGAGAGTACACCATAGATAATATACATAGGTTAAACAGTGCTGTAAGTCACAGACTAGTGAAATTCTTAACATTCTCTATGCATTGTAAGTGGTAGCTCAATATTGTAACTATTACTTATTATCAATTGGGAATTTAATCGCTGTGTGTTCTGAGTTTGGGGAAACACGGATAAAAAGATTTTTTATTTCGTTTTCTTTAGATTTAAACTTACGTTTTCTTAGAAAACTAGTACTAGTTATAAATAGCTCAAGAAGGTTTAGGTTTATTGCCAACCAAGGTATACTGTAACACATGTTTATGAATAAAATTCTAAACCGTCTACGCTCAGCGCGCATATCGCTTTTTGAGTAGTCATATTTATAATAAGATCAGCAAATGTATTACAATCGTACACCTTAACAAACATGAAGTTAAAAAGAAGACAAAGTTTTTACTTTCACTAGATTACGAAAAAACTGAGGAATTGGTTGCCACGGCCCTATAAATATAGATGCTTATGATTATATATACACACACGCACTACACACATATACACACACACGTACACACACACACATACGCACACGCACACACACACACACACACGCACACACACACATTTATTATATTAATGTACTGTAATATTGATTAATGTAGTATTATGGTACTCATGTTATTTGTATGGCTACATAGCAAATAAAATTCGGGAAGAGCGCTGAAGCCAAAATACAGGATGAATTTCCTAGTTTGGCTGAGGATGTCTATAACTAGGTACTTTGTGTGAAACAATGGCCTTAGTATTAACATATTTATAAGATTATTACCATGTACAATTTTTTACAAATAAATATATATTACTAGCAAACCAGGCGAACTCCGTTTCGCCATCAGATGGCTTCGTTTTATGTAACATTTCGTTTGGTGATTAAAAGAAGATTTTTTTTTTGAAATTTTTCCTGAATTTTCTTTGCTATAAACCTCACGGAGCCCGAGACCTTTCCAACGAATGCAAAACCGTGGAAATCGGTTCGTGCGTTCTGGAGTTATAGCGTGAGGAAGGAAAACCCGACTTATTTTTATATAGTAGATTATTATTATTATTATTCTATTCTATTCTATCGTCGCTTACGACACGCGGTTTTAGGCAGCGGCTCCGGGTCCCGGGTCCGGGTCAGGGTCGGGCGCCACCCTGGAGGCCGTGGAGCGCGAGGTGTCGCTGATGAGGCTGCAGTACCAGCACCAGCACCACCACCAGCACCAGCACCCCAGCTCCGACAGGCTGGGCATGGCGGCTGGCAGCCCGCCTGCCCCGCGCCAGTACGTATATACTTATACATACGTTCGGAAGACAGCTATTCGATCGATTGAGTCGTATAGTAGTATCAAAGACGGCAAAGTAGGGCGGGCGAACCAAATATTTGGCAAATCAAAAAAAAATGGGTGCGTGTACTTATGTAGGCGCGTGAGAAGTTATCCTTCTTTGGCATCGTTTAAAATTAGTTTTTAATTGCATGCAAATAATTAATTACAATAAATTAATAAAAAGTCTGGAAAAGGACACAGTCGATAAAGTTCAGTTTTAATTTGAAAAAATAAATAAATAATCAAAATATTCAATTAAAATCGCTACTGAATATAATTTATTAGAACATATGTGATTTGCACTTGTATGAAACTCAAACACGTATTCCGAATATACAAACTAGAAACATGTGGATAAATATTATAAATATGAATACCTATAACTGTTACTTTATTACAAAAAATAAAGATGTGGTTTTTGGTTCTACTACACCAATGGTCAAGAGATGGCGCTGTAGTCTCCTGAATCGCGCTTTGGTTCCGTTGTTCCAGATTAATAAATACTTTTGATATTATAAATATGAATACCTATAACTGTTACTTTATTACAAAAAATAAAGATGTGGTTTTTGGTTCTACTACACCAATGGTCAAGAGATGGCGCTGTAGTCTCCTGAATCGCGCTTTGGTTCCGTTGTTCCAGATTAATAAATACTTTTGATAGGCCTTCACAATGCAGTCGTTAGCACCCACTAAATAGAGATTCTATTTCTATTTTGTTGGTAGATTTTCTTAATGTGCGGTAAACACAAAAGTAACAGCATGAAGTTGGTCGCTAAAGCGACCAACTTCATGCTGTTAATTTTTGTGTTACAGTGATGCGCGCGCATCTTAAAATTTCACTCTCATAATTTTTTCATAACGCACCTAAAGAAGTATAACTTCAAAAAACTGTTTAGTCTCGTCTTTAAGGGAGTATAAAATATTGACATTGCACTACGATTTGTAGTTACGATGAATGTCAATTATAAAAATCCTCCCTTAAAGACGAGACTAAACAGTTTTTTTTTGATTTGCCAAATATTTGGTTCGCCATACTTTGCCGCCTTTGATACTATACGACTCAATTTATAATATTAAAGTTAAAGAATCGTTAAGAGATAAGTTTAAAGAATTTGGAATAATGACGGTCGCATCACAATACATATACGAAAATTTATTACTTGTAAGAAAAAATATTTTTTTTTCGGAAAAACAGTGATGTTCACACAATTAATATAAGAAACAAAAATAAACTAACTTTATCTGCTACTAGGCTTCATAAAATTAATAATTCATTTAAAGGTCTTTGTGTTCGCTTATACAATAAAGTCATAAATAACGCGGCGAATAGGGCCGTGGTAGCATAATGGTCAGTGCATTTGCCCGGATAGCGAAGGGTGCGGGTTCGAGTCCCGTCCGCTGCCTGGTCCGCGTGGATTTTTTTTAGTAAACTTTTCTTTAGATTTAAACATCTAGCAGTTAAATGCTTAAAAATAAATAAAAACATAAGTCATAAATAAATTTAAAGATAGTATAAAAAAAGCACTTATTAAAAAGCTTATTACAAAGTGTCTGATTATATTACAGACAAAAATGCTTGGGTTTGAACGGTTCCAATCATTCCAACAAGTTTTCTATATTAAATAAATCATAATTGTATTGACGTTGTAACAACATAATGATTTGTAAATGTTGTTACATTAGACTTTTAATGTTGTGGAGTTTTTTTCGCGCGTTTTTCTCCGCAGCAAAAAAATATGTCCATAACGAGTGGTAGGGAAAAAAAATTTAGGACGATTCAAAAGAGTTCAAATTCAAATCAAATTCAAATTCAAACTCATTTATTCAGTCTAGGCTGTTACAAGCTCTTGTGAAAGTCAAACGCTACGCCATCGGTTCGTAAATCTACGGCGGGAGACCTTGTACTGAGAAGAACCGGCAAGAAACTCAGCAAGGGCTATTTTTTTCTCCCTGTTTTGTTTCACACAGTGTCGTCAATTGAAAGATGACATCAAAAATTGAATACATGTGTTGATGTCAACTTCCATCACATTAATATTATTAATTAACAAAAGTTAAGTATAACTAGGTACTATTTTTAAATTTAGAAGTGGCGATTAAACAATTTTCAGCCAAATTAGCAAAGTAAAAAGACAGTCTATTATGTTAAGCCCAAGGTGACTTATCATTTATGAAATCTTTTACAGTATAGTAACCTTTCTTAAGGAGACATGTTTTTATACACACTTTAAACTTATTAAAAGGTAAATTAATTATTTCTTTTGGTATTTTATTATAGTAACATATACCTTGACCCACAAATGAACCAAGAACCTTTTGGAGTCTCAATGGTGGCAATTTGAGTTTATCTTTATTTCTGGTATTGAAATTATGTACATCATCGCGCCTCGTATATAAATTTATGTTCTGACGCACAAACAATATACAATTGTAAATGTATTGAGAGGCAACAGTCATTATACCTATTTCTTTAAATTTATCCCTAAGAGAAGTTCGAGATCCCAAGCGGTAAATGGCTCTTATAGCTCGTTTTTGAAGAATAAAAACTGTTTCAATGTCTGCGGCCGTGCCCCATAATAGAATGCCATATGACATAATGCTGTGAAAGTAGCTGAAGTATATTGTCCTAGCAGTGTCGACATCTGTAAGCCGTCTTATTTTATAAATTGCATAAGCAGCAGAACTTAGTTTACCGGCTAGTGTTGTAATGTGAGGGTTCCATTGAAGTTTGTGGTCTAGTGTTACGCCTAAGAAAACGGTTGTATCGACTAAAATTAGTTTTTCACCATTTAGAATTATATCCCCCATTTCAACATGCTTTACATTCGGCAAAGTAAATTTCACACATTTAGTTTTGCTCGCATTCAGTTTAAGATTATTAGAAGAGAACCAGTGAAGTACCTTGGAAAGTGCATTGTTTACATCGTCATAATTTGTTTTACACCTGTCAACGTTAAAAATTAGCGAGGTGTCATCTGCAAACAAAACAATTTCACAAAAATTTTCTACAAAGAAAGGTAAATCATTAATGTAAATTAAAAAAAGAAATGGACCTAAAATTGAACCCTGAGGAACGCCTATTTTCACATGAGATCCGGCTGATTTTGTACCGTTAATATCAACTATTTGTGTCCTTTCTGTTAAATATGATTGCACTAATTTTTGTGCGGAATCTTTTATGCCGTAATGATTTAATTTCCGTGACAAAGTTTGATGATTAACGCAATCAAACGCTTTAGATAAATCGCAGAAAACCCCAAGAGCATTCTGCGACTTTTCCCAAGCATTTAATATATATTTTAGCATAGTGGCCCCAGCATCAGTCGTGGAACGGTTTTTAGTGAAACCGTACTGCGCTCTGTGTAAAAGTTTATTAATGTTAAAATGAGTCAACAATTGTTCTAACATTATTTTTTCAAAGATTTTACTCAATGCTGGTAATATAGATATTGGCCTATAGTTGCTAGGATCTTTACAATTTCCAGACTTAAATAAAGGTATGATTTTACTGAATTTCATAAGATCAGGGAATACTCCCTGATCTATACATGAATTAAAAATATCAGCTAGGTAAGGGGCTATAGAGTTGTACTATACATCCAATTTGAATAAAGATATATTGATTTCTGATTTTTGATTCCAATTGTACAACACATTACATTTACGTAGGAGCATATTTGGCCCCCTGGAATATTTATAATCTGCATCTTACTGATAGAAAAGCGACGTTCTGGTGCAGGCAGAACTTTTTATTGTCTTGCCTGAACAGAAGGAGTTAGCTCTTTTTTGTACTGATTCCCTTTCCATATATTAGTAACTGTCTATTGTCGCTCTGATATACAGGCGTTCTGTCTAATTTAGGCAACAGTCTCTCACAATCTTATTAATTGTCTCCATTAGTGATGTAACGATTCGCATATTTTTGAATATTCGCATTCGAGGCATTGTCCTAATACAACGCGATAACGCGATCATAGCGCGTTTAAACGACGCGACCATCGCGTGATCGCGAACTGGGTGTCCTAATAGAACGCGAATACGGAACGGGTTAGCCCTGCCCCTCTCCCCGCTTCCTATCGACGCGACGCGATCATCGCGCGAACTTCAGTTAGGACACCTATTCATCATTCACAGGTTTGATGGCGCGTTCGCGCGAACCAAGTTCGCGCGAATAGATTTTTAAACATTTTAGTCGCGCGAATGCATCTCGCGATCGGCTATTAGGACACCTATTCTAGATCAATATGTTTGATCGTCGACTCGTACGATGATCGCATCGCTCATTCGCGTTATCGCGTTGTATTAGGACAATGCCTGACATTCGTATAATCTCTGCGAATGTTTTGCGAATATGAATATCAAAAAATATAAAAAAACAATTTGAAGAAGTTGTAGTTCTTCCTTTCCTTGAATATTCATTGTTACACAGCTTGCATTTAGCTTGTTCAGCATCGCAAAGTGTGAAATAAGTCCATATTTCACTAGAATTTGATTTACACATGTTTTAATTAATCACTATTCAAAACTCTAACCTCAAAATTCACTTGTTTTGTTTACGAAAAGACCGGCGCGAGCGGAATGACACTTCAGTCGGATGAGTTCATATCAACTCGGCAATTCGAACGAGACTGCCACCATGCCATAGACAATCGGCGCCAATTTTGAACAAAAACATATATATTCACATTCGCGAATATCGGTACCAGATATTCGCATCCGCATTCGCGTTCGCGAATGTTCAAAAAATTACATTCGTTACATCACTAGTCACCATATATACTTAGTTGTCATTTGTTTTGGAGATTGTGGAAGAAAAATAAAGATTATTATTCCGTAATTGTATAGAGTGGGGGTAGCACATTCAGCAGCGGCCGCCATGACCAGCATCGAGCAGGAGGGCGCCCCCAACAACACCAACAACAACAACAACAACAACGACAACGACAACGAAGACCGCGACCACGACGACTTCAACTCTGTCTTCACTATGATCAGGTATCCTTCGACTCATTACTACATGGCTAAAGGATGAGGAGCACATTTATAGTCTATTCACTTTGGCCTGAGACAAAATGTAAACAAAGAATCTGAGGTTCTAAAACTTTTTGAAGTTATACTTCTTAAGGCGCGTTATGAAAAAATTATGAGAGTGAAATTTTAAGATGCGCGCGCATCACTGTAACACAAAAATTTAACAGCATGAAGTTGGTCGCTTTAGCGACCAACTTCATGCTGTTACTTTTGTGTTTACCGCACATTAAGAAAATCTACCAAAAATAGAAATAGAAACTCTATTTAGTGGGTGCTAACGACTGCGTTGTGAAGGCCTATCAAAAGTATTTATTAATCTGGAACAACGGAACCAAAGCGCGATTCAGGAGACTACAGCGCCATCTCTTGACCATTGGTGTAGTAGAACCAAAAACCACATCTTTATTTTTTGTAATAAAGTAACAGTTATAGGTATTCATATTTATAATATTTATCCACATGTTTCTAGTTTGTATATTCGGAATACGTGTTTGAGTTTCATACAAGTGCAAATCACATAATACATGTTCTAATAAATTATATTCAGTAGCGATTTTAATTGAATATTTTGATTATTTATTTATTTTTCAAATTAAAACTGAACTTTATTGACCGTGTCCTTTTCCAGACTTTTTATTAATTTATTGTAATTAATTATTTGCATGCAATTAAAAACTAATTTTAAACGATGCCAAAGAAGGATAACTTCTCACGCGCCTACATAAGTACACGCACCCATTTTTTTAATGTCAGAAAGTACCTACTAATCAATGATCAGGGCCAGCTTCACCACTTATTAATATAGCCACGTAAACGTCAATTCAACAAGAAAACAATCACAGACAACTTTAAACATAACAGTAAAAATATAACAAAAAAATGGTTGCCTGTAAAGTCGGTTTTACGGGCGAAGATTTTACGTGACAACGTCTTTTTCTCGGTAGAATATTTATTGATATGAATATAATTAAATTGCACAAAAGGAACAAATGAATGAAAATAAGAATTGCACAAATTTTAACTATAGAAATATATTTTGTTTACTAAAACATTGTACATGTAAACTTAAACTTAACACGAGAGACTCATCGTAACGTTACCGAGCGTTACACTTTTTCATAAGTGACTCCCAGCCGCAACCTAATTTAAGACGTTGTCACGTCAAAATATAACAAAAATGAAACAAGGAAATAACAATAATTATCATAGAATATGCACGCTCGCGTCAACAGGTTGATCGGGAGAGTAAAGATGGCTGAAGTAAAAAACCAACCGATCATAAAATACAACATTTCGTACGTAAAATACTTATATCATGTCTACTCTTAAATTTTGTTGTATTATAATACGTCTTAGTTTGGGAATGATTGTGTTTTTAGGTCTTTTTCCATGTCAACTGAAGTTGATAAAATACTTTTATCAGCAATATATAATAATATGATGTGTATGTACGTTAAATATATGTAAAATATTTTATTTTCTTATTCAAATGTATGTACCAGCTTTTAAAAAAAATAACTTAATGTTTCACTGCATTTCCTATGTAAATAGTATTTAATCTATACTTTTGTCAAAAGTGACCTTAAAAAGTATCCTTTTTATGTTTTTTTTACATTTTGTCTCACGCCAATGTGAATAGACTATAGTCTGCGATCGTGAAAGTTAAGCAACTTACACAATGGTCGGTCATTGGATGAGTGACCAACATTATCTCGAGCTCCTTCTTGCTTCGGAAGGCACATTAAGCCGTTGGTCCTGGCTGCATCTGCAGTCGTTAGCACCCACCAATCCGTACTGGGTCCGCGTGGTGGGTCATGACCCAGTCTCCCCATTCCATCCATATGGACGGCCTGTGCCCCAGCAGTGGCGACATTAATAGGCTGATGATGATGAGATGGATAAAAAATCATTTTTTTTAACAATGGGTGTACTTTTTAAATTATCATTTGACGTATCTTGAACATTATTCGCTGGCTGAAATCCTACATTTTAAACCGCAGTCAGTTGGTTGCTTTGAAGGGCTATATCGCTCTCAGCCTGTCTCCATAAGTTCTGGTGTTCCGCAGGGCTCGCATTTGGGACCTTTACTATTTCTCCTGTTCATTAACGACCTAATCCCTGAATTTAAAAATATATCATTACTGTATGCGGATGACTTGAAAATATTTAAACGCATAGATTCTGTAAGAGATTGCAGTCAGTTGCAAACAGAATATATCATAACTTTGATGGGTGTAAAGACAACGGCATGTGCCGGAGCATCGAGAAAGGCTTCGTGATTTCCTTCACACGTAAGCGTACTTCTGTAATCTTTGACTACGCCATGGACAATGATTTACTTGAGAGAAGGTTGGTAGGGCTTGATTTAGGCGTTTTATTCAATGATAAGATGAGCTTTAATCATCAATGAGAAGCGCTTTCCAAGAAGTGTAAAAAGTCGTAATCTTTTGTATAATATATTTATATTTCTGTTATCCCAGAAAATTTTAAGATTCCCATGGGGTTCTTCAAAAATTCAGGAATCTAATATTTGCTGGGATAAAATTTATTTTACATAATATTGGTTATAATCTAACGCCTATAGACATTTAATGTCTTATTTTTAATGACTGTCATTGTTCTCATTTGTCAATCTTTATACCTCCAAATAACCTGTTAACATGACACTTTGGAGTACCACATTAAATAAAAAAAATTGTTCGTCTGCGTGTCCCACATTCATCGTACGCCGCAATATATATATAAAACTCAAAGGTGACTGACCGACATAGTGATGATCTAGCAACGCACAGCCCAAACCACTGGACGGATCGGGCTTAAATTTGGCATGCAGGTAGATGTTAAGACGTAGGCATCCGCTAAGAAAGGATTTTGGTCAATTCTACCCCCAAGGGGATAAAATAGGGAATGAAAGTTTGTATGAAACTTTGTCAATTTTAACCCGATCGGTTTGAGACTTTGCATGCAGGTAAAAGAATAGATGAATGTCATTGTGTATAAATACAAGCCTGAGAACAAAAACTGTAGTCTACACTTCAGCTCTACACCGAAGCGAAGCGAGGGCGGACCGCTAGTTTATAATATTTATCCACATGTTTCTAGTTTCTATATAGACACAACGTGTTTTAGTTACTTACAAGTGCTAATTACACATGGACTAATAACTTAAATTCAGTAGTGATTTTAATTGAATATTTTGAATATTTATTTAATTTTTCAAATTAAAACTGAACTTAATTGACTGTGTTAACTATCCTTTTCCAGTCCTTTTATTATTTTATTGTAATTATTAATTATTTGCATGCAATTAAAAAATATTTTTAATGATGCTAAAGAAGTATAACTTCTCACGCGCGTACATAAGTTACACGCATCCATTTTTTTTTTTGAATAAAGCTATTTCCATTATTATAATTATTGTTGTAGGAACGAGCCGTACGGGTGTCGCGGCGACGTGGCCAGCAGTAGACTATCATCTTCGTGGGAGAACATCGAACCTGAACCCTCTAAACCCATACACTCCATGTTTTCTTCCCCCACCCCCACGCCAGCCGCTACGGTCTCCCCTTCCACGGGGACGGGTCAGAGGTCTCGCGGCAGACGAACTGAAACCAACACTGATGATTCAGCAGTGAAGAAGTTTGGCTCGGCCAAGGCCATCAGCTCGGCACAGTTCTTCGGAGAACAGGTGATTCACTTTGAAAATATAAAGTTAATAAAATTAGGAATAAATTACCCTCGGTTTAGGTTTCAGACGGGATTCGAACTCGCATACCCAGCTAGCCATCCGGTTATTTATTTATTTATTTAATCTTTATTGCCTTTACACTGCAAATGGCGGACTTAACGCCAATATGGCATTCTCTACCAGTCAACCGGAAAGAACATACAGAGCTATAAAAAACGGCAGAATCAAAGAAGAGACATTAAAATCAAACAATGAGCAAATATGCTAACACTTAACTATACATACGACCAAACTTATATAAATATACACACAAATACTATAGTAATATTTGCTTTAGATTTAAAATTATAGCAGATCAATGCTAAAATTTCTAACCTAATAAAAATTCCTTAGAACAAAACATTAAAATTGTTATAATTTTTATTTTTTAAGCATGTAACTGCTCGATGTTTAAATCTAAAGAAAATATTACTAGAAAAAATTCCGCGCGGACCAGGCAGCAGACGGGACCGAACCCGCACCTTTCGCTATCCGGGCGAATGCACTGACCATTATGCTACCACGGCCCTATTGGCTGCGTCGAAATTGTCCTAGCCTTAAGCTGCAAGGTAGCGCCATCTCTTCGCATTGTAGGTAACCCAGCAATAATATGTTCAAATACTTATTTCTCAATGAGGGCTACCGTTTTCTGTCTCACCAGATGGCGCCACTGTCGAGTGAGGTCCTAAATTGTAACTTTTAAAGTTTATTAATACGCACATGAAATCAAAGGTTACATTTAGATCGTATTTTAACACAAAAGAACCATATCCTAAACATAATAGGCCATGCCACAGTGACGCGCAGTTCCGTTTTATTCGGAAAAAATGGGAACATAATCATTTTTCTAAGCTCAAATTTTTAATAACTGACATTCATTGCCACATAACTCATATTTGCCATAATTAAGCCGAATTGTTACCAATTATTCACAACATTATTTTAATTAGAAATAAACCCGCGCAGTCAACCAACAAGCAATAACATTTGACATTTCGGAGACCTCACGCTACACTAGCGCCTCTAGCGGCGGATTCATACGCGATAGCCCTCATTGTCTCTCAGGTCGCGTCTCTTAACTGATATATAGGTTTCCCTTGTATTCCCCCAGGACCGCAGCCTGGATTCCCCGGATTCGAACCTGTCGCGTTTCTCCGGCAGCAGCAGCATCTCCTCAGCGGAGTACTTCGGCACCGGCAGCGGGCAGCAAAGGCCTAACAATGCTGCTTCGTTTGCCGTCTCCGCGCCAGACCTTGATGAGGTTAGCACCATATTTATTTATTCATTTATTGCATGTCACATAACATTTATGGTGGTACATTAATTTATGTAAAGTAAATATGTGACGCCCTGCAAGGGCATAGCAAATATCAAACCAGAGGGCTTGTTAAATAATTATATTGAAAATGAAAAATGAAAATATATTTATTGGAACTAATTAAGGTTACATGTATAATTAGGTTCGTTAATAGCTATATTAGTTTCTAGAACTGTGTTACAGCTATTAGCGCCCACCTCCAGATACAGAGACGTGTGTTCCATAATACATAAATAAAAATTACAGTTCATATCTTACCATTTACTTAAAGATAAAAATTATGTATGTGTGTGTGTGTGTTTGTATATATGTGTGTGTGTGTGAGTCTGTATATGCGTGTGTATCTGTATGTGCATGTGTGTATGTTTATGAGAGTGAGAGTGTCCGGTTGTACTAAAATGATAGTTACATGTGATTTCACATGTATATCCGTGTATTATTTGATGACCTTGAGTAAGCTCTCCGTTTCATCATATGAAAGGGAATGCAACCACTGCCTAGCAACCGTCTTACACTTATAAAGGGTAAGTGGATATATGTCAATGATTTTGCTGGTCCGGTTATATAACAAAGGAGCAATGTTTGAAAGGTGGCGACGAGACAATGTTAGCCTGCATCTACTAATATTGCAAACCCTACCACATCCACGCTTACTTCTGGCAGTTTCTGGGTCATATGGGAGGCGACGATGTGTGTACAGAATAGCATTGAGAATAAACATCTGCCTAACAGTCAAAACACCGGTGAGTGAATATAGTTCGACAGTTGGATATCTAAAAGGCTTTTGCATCATAACCTTTAGAACCGCTCTCTGGGCTCTTTCTAAACGCAGCAAAACACTTCCAGGAGATCCACCCCATGCACCCAAGCAATAAGTAATTAATGACTGGGCAAGAGAGTAGTATATGACTTTTAACGTAGCAAAGTCAACCACATCTCTTAAGATTTTAAATACGTATGCGAGCTTTCTAACACGTGATAAAACTAGACATATGTGTTCCTTCCAAGATAGAGTTTCATCTAAAATAACTCCTAGATATTTAATTGAGGATGTAATTTCAATTTTAATACAGGAGCACGACTGTTTTGGAGTATTAGGGCTAGCGTTGCAAGTATGTGCTTGAATAACTATAGATTGAGATGGTAGGGATGATTTTGTTGGACCAAACGCAATGATTTTTGTTTTGCTTAAATTTAGGGTGAGTAGATTTCTGGTAAGCCAAAACATAACCGACTTTAAAGTTGATTCAGCACACTTCACAACTTCAACCCAAGATCGACCCTGAATCAGTAAAGCTGTGTCATCAGCATAAGTTATAATTTTGGTGTTCGACAGCGAAAGTTCGCAGAGCTCATTGATGTAGATCAAGAATAATGTGGGACCCAAAATACTTCCCTGTGGAACACCAAACTCAATGAACTCATCATCACTCGTAAAACCATTGACAACAACACACTGCGTTCTATTTGTTAAATAACTGTCAAAAATCTGGAGTGTTTTCCCCCTTATACCAATAAAGTTAAGTTTATGCAGAAGAACAGGAATCGATACCGTATCAAAGGCTTTAGATAGGTCGAGGAATATTCCTAGCGTTTTAAACTTTTTTTCGAAGCCTTTAATCACTGATTCAGTAAGTTCTAAAACTGCATCTTCGGTACTTTTACCTGACCTAAATCCATATTGATTTTTTGATAAGATAGTGAAATTGTCTAGAAATAGTTGAAGCCTTTTATTAAGAATTTTCTTTAATATTTTGGAGAAGGTAGTCAGTATGGATATGGGTCTATAATTGCTAGTATCAACTTTGTCTCCACTTTTGTAAATTGGGCGAACGACTGCTTTTTTGAATACCTTGGGAAACACTCCATTGTGTAAAGAAAGATTGAAAACGTGAGTAAGAACAGGAACCAGTACATGTCTAGCAACTTTAACTAGACTGGCAGAGATCCCATCCCAACCCTCCACACAGTTGTTTTTGAGGCCAAGAATGATTTGCTCAATTTCATGGTCATCAGTTGCAAGTAGCGCCATCGAGTTTTGTTGAGTGATCACTCTGGAGGGACAGTTAGGAACATCATGAACAGTTGATCCATTGATCTGTAAAGCCAATTTTTTTCCAATGCTTGCAAAATATTTATTAATGGTGTTTACGGCTACAGTGGGGTTTTTATTTAAAGAAAGAAGTTCACAAGATGATGAATGGCTATTGTTAATATTATATTATAATACTTAGTTCACATTTCATTTTTACACAACAAATATATTTTATAAAATAGATTTAACAATTTCAATAAACAACAATAATAATAATTTATTTTTGACACAACAAATAATTCAATTTTATAAACTAGATTTAACAATGTCAATAAGCAATAATAATAATAACGAAAATGTCAACTTTAAAAATTAATTACATTTGTCGTCAAAAAATTCTTTTAAATTATAAAAACATTTTTGGATTAAATATGATTTTAATTGATTGTTGAATTTGGCTGATATTTCTACGTTCTTTATATTATTAGGTACATTATTATAGATTTTTATTGTCATAGATAGCTATTTTGCCATACTTAGCTATTTTGTTCATTGTTTTAAACTCTCATGGCCACTAACATTATAGTGAGGTGAGTGAGGAGTGAGGAGCTCGATGGCGCAAGTGGTTAGCGCGTTCAGCTGCGATTATTGAAGTTAATCAACTTTCGCAGTGGTCGGTCATTGGATGGGTGACCAAAAATTTACAATCTTGAGCTCCTCCGTGCTTCGGAAGGCACGTTAAGCCATTGGTCCCGGCTGCATCTGCAGTCGTTAGCACCCGCCAATCCGCACTGGGCCCGCGTGGTGGGTCATGGCCCAATCTCCCTATTCCATCCGTAAGAAAGGCTTGTGCTCCAGCAGTGGGGACATTAATAGGCTGATGATGATGATGATGATGAAATTTTATATTTTGTATATAGGAAGCGGCATTAGATAGGTACCATATTACTGTTACATAAACTGACTCATACCCATTAAATAACAAATTACAAAAAATACGATGTCCATTACGATCATTTAGATAATCATTAACTTTATAATAGCCCTTATTCATAAGAGTATTTTTAATCTTAGATTTAAATTTGGTTAGTGGAAGCTCAATCAGATCTTGGGGAACTTTGTTAAACAATGCAATACTACAACCCAGAAATGAACCTCTTGATTTTTGGAGTCTGAAACATGGAACGGCAAGCTTGTTCTTAAATCTCGTGTTAAAGTTATGGGTTTTGACTTTTTTTTGCAAATGCGTCATAGTTTATTCTTACATATATTATATTTTCATAAATGTATTGCGATGCCAGTGTTAAAATATTAATTTCTTTAAATTTTTCTCTAAGAGATTAAGATGTTGATGGGTAGAATCACTCCCTACTAAGAGGTTGTTGGTGTTTTAAAATGAACCCTGTATAATTAATTGATATCGTCAGGTCCGCGAGTCTGTCCGTGCCGGCGTGACCAGAGTGGCAGGCCGACTCTCCTCGCTGGCCAATGGCGTGGTCTCCTCGCTGCAGGAGCGTTATGGATACTGAACCCATCACCGCATCTCTCATTCTACGTGCTACAACCACTACACCATATTGGAACCTTGTAACTTGACATTTATTCCAAAAAAACATTTTTTTGAAAACCCTCATTATTGACAGAAAAATAACAATAGCTTTGCACTCTGAAATATATAATGCGATTCAACTAAGAATAGGATCGACGGGGCGCCATATTGTGACGTCGTAGCTGTCAATTCAAACGAAAAAGGTAGAGTGAGCAAAAAAGATTTTATTTAATAAAAGTTATTTACTAAGATTAAGTGAGAGAAAACATCCGATTTTTTAATAAAATTGATTTACTAAAATTGAGAAAAGAATATTTATTTATTAAGACTGTGCGAGTAAAAACATTAATCAGAATTAAGCTCTTCAATTCCGCTCATCTCGGCATTACCGCCGGAGTAGTTATGAATAATCATGCACTATTACTAGGTCAAATACGAACATGCATCTTATATGTAAACCAAAGTTTTAAATCGAGTTTCTGAACGCAACTTGGTGACATTTGGTTGACGATTTAGGTTATCAACCATTCATAGCCAAAGCTCAATAAATGAAAATAAAATATCAACCGATATTAATTGACAATATTTGTTATTGTTTGTTTACAAATGTTTGGTTTTTATTCTATAATTAGCTGAGTGCTAAAAAAGGGTTCAAAGATTTTTTTGCAAGCCGTACTTTTCAAGCGACATTTGACAGATGGAGGTCATTGGCTTTCCTATTCTTATTTGAATCGCATTACAACTAACTTCTCTAAAGACAATAAAAGATAAAATGATATTCAATTGAACTTTGTAAACACCTTTCGTGTACCAAAATATGGCAAAAGTTTATTTTTTTTTTATAAGCATATTTTTATTTTTTATCTTCTAAAAATAGTAATAAATTTTCAATACAGAATAATGGTAAGCCGCATCTTTTAGGCGCTGGCTGAGCTAAAGCTGTCAAGGTGCATCACTATATATTTTTTTCTATTTCTTTTTGAACTGTTACTGATAGTAAAAAGATTCTTCTTGTCTCCTTGCGCTCATGATTACACAGAATGGAGGGACCATCTTTAATCGTCCGTAATGCCGGCACTTTAATTGGTTATTCGTTTTTGCTATTTGTAAACTTGATATCGGTTTGTCGCTTTCATTCCATATAAAGCATAATAAGGTCAGACTTTTGTCAACTTTACAAATACAGTGACATAGTGATGAAAGGGCCAAAGTACGTTTTTGTTTAAAATCAAATTGTGAAGTAAATTTATTGAAAAAGTATTATATTTTCTTTTGCCTTAATTTATCAACAACTTTTTCAATAAACTGGCATTACAATTTGACTTCGAACAAAAACGTACTTTTAGCACTTGGCCACAGAATAGCGAACACGAATAGTCAAGTGAAGTCCCGCCATAAGTTATATTTCGCAATTGAATAAAATTACCTATATAGTGTACATTTTGAGCTTACGACGACAATGGTAATGTTTCGGCAAATATTGAACAAATATGAAACTACACTCGCCAAGTTACTATAGATTAATTGTTTGTAACTAATCTATTGTAATATAATCAAGTGAAGAATCTTTTATTATGTCTGTATGACGTGATGAAATAATTACTAAATCACTATGCAAATTGATAACATAAACTTGATATCCTCGTAAAGACCTTTGAGAACGAACCTTTGAGAAAGAACCTTTTCTTAAAATAACTTTGATGTATTTATTTCAATAAATACATAATACAGGCTGTTACAAAAATACAAATAAAGCTTGAAGGGCGTTGAAGTACATCATTTAAGGAGTCTTCTCCAATTTTCTTAAAATATTTGCATGAAGTTTTAACTTTTTATAAAAACCGTTATTTTAATGGATTAATAAAAATATCGATCATTTTAAGACACGTCACTAGTTCGAGGATCATTAAAAATAACTGTTTCTAAAAAGGTTAAAACTTCATGCAAATATTTTAAGAAAATTAGAGAAGACTCCTTATATGATGTACTTCAACGCCCTTCAAGCTTTATTTGTATTTTAGTAACATCCTGTATATCCACAGCTGTTAAGGGGCTAAGATTCTAGAGCGGGCTTCAGTAGTATTTGTTCCATAGTGCACACGTTTTCGCCCCATGATCTAATATTTGATTCATTTTATGAAATCTTATTTTTTTATATTATTACTTTGTAATCTTGTTGACTAGAGCTGCTGTTAGTTCGTCTATTGCTTTTGATTGAAAATTCTCCACTGTTTGTTTGATTTTTTTCAGTTTTTAGCTTTTAGTAATTTCAGAAATAAGTGTTTGTAAGTATTGTATATAAAAGGTTCTGTTCGATATCGACCGAACAGAACTATTTGGAAAATTTAGTAGAAAATGATAGATTATGTATTATTGTCAGGGGAATACATTCAAGAGCGATAGATAGACTAGCCGAATTGACGGTCCACGATCGCCGATGTTTGTTAGCGAATAATAATATAATTGTAGACGTAATGTTTCCTTATACATTGTCCTGGCAACACTGCAGCCGGACGTTCGAACGCTACGGAGCTTTACCGAATATTTATATAAAATATAATATCTAGAATATGTGTAATGCCATTCAACTAAGAATAGGACCGACTGGGGGCCATATTGTGATGTCATAGCTGTCAATTCAAACCAAATAGGTAGAGTGAGCAAAAAAAAGTTTTTATTTAATAAAACTTAAGTCGAGAAAAAGCATCAGATTTTTTTAATAACATTTATTTACTGAGATTGAGAAAAGAAAACCACCGATTTTTAATAAAATTTATTTATTAAGACTGTGAGAAAAATCATTAATCAGAATCTAGCTCTTCTATTCCGCTCATCTCTGCATTACCGCCGGAGTAGTCATGAATAATCATGCACTATTACTAGGTCACATACGAACATGCATCCTTTATGTAAACGTAAGTTTGAAATCGAGTTTCTGAACGCAACTTAAAGTGACATTTGATTGACGATTTAGGTTATCAACCATTCATGGCCAAAGCTCAATAAGTGAAAAAAGATTATCAACCGATATCAATTATCAATATTTGTTATTGTTTGTTCACAAATGTTTGGTTTTTATCCTTGAATTAGCGGAGTGCTAAAAAAGGGTTCCAAATTTTTTTTTGCAAACCGTACTTTTCAAGCGACATTTGACAGATAGAGGTCATTGGCTTTCCTATTCTTATGATTTTATTTATTTTTTAAGCATTTAACTGCTAGATGTTTAAATCTAAAGAAAAGTTTACTAGAAAAAAATCCACGCGGACCAAGCAGCGGACGGGACTCGAACCCGCATCCTTCGCTATCCGGGCGAATGCACTGACCATTATGCTACCACGGCCCTATTAGCCGCGTCGAAATTTTCCTAGCCTTAAGCTGCAAGGCAGCGCCATCTCTTCGCATTGTTGCAGCTTAAGGCTAGGAAAATTTCGACGCGGCTAATAGGGCCGTGGTAGCATAATGGTCAGTGCATTCGCCCGGATAGCGAAGGATGCGGGTTCGAGTCCCGTCCGCTGCCTGGTCCGCGTGGATTTTTTTCCTATTCTTATTTGAATCGCATTATACAGATAACGACTGTTGACTTATCGAATGAAAGCATTAACCGTACACTAAATAATATCATGAGTTTTGTACATGTCGTGTAAATATTGTTCGTATCGGGCGGGGAGTGCCCGCCGAGCCATGGATTCTTTGCAATGTATCTGTATAGATCACTAATTCATGTTTTGCGGAGACGGACTAAATTTAATTCATTCCTATGTATGTATGTATGTATGTTTCTGTATGGGCGACACGCGCACAAAACTGTCGTGTTCAATCCATTTCTTCTATGATCATTCACAAATCATTACAATAAAAATTGTGTGTGTCAGCTCCGACGCACGACTGGAGTTTACTCCTTAAGTTCGAGTCTAACCAGACGCAAAAAGAGTTTATTTAACTTAAAAAAGATTGATACTGTATGAAAGGGTAAATTAACAAATTAATGAAAATAATATACATATATAAATATATATTTATTCTAGATATTAACGGGATTGTTACCATGTACCTTGTTTTTTATGAGTCTCCGATATTTCGGCACTGTTGCAAGCGCCATGATCACGGAGTAACTGATCATGGCGCTTGCAACAGTGCCGAAATATCGGAGACTCATAAAAAACAAGGTACATGGTAACAATCCCGTTAATATCTAGAATGTTAGTGACCATGAAAGTTTAAAACAATATATATTTATTCATTTCATATACATTTATTATAACTAATCGACGAAATATTTTACATTAAACTTTTTACAATAGTCAATTTCAGATGTGCATAAATAAAGGTACGCTACGATACTGTGCTACGGTGTAGCACTACGGCTGCTACAGCGTAGACAGTAAAACGTAACGAGGTCATTCATCGATAGATTTCACTCCTCACATTTTTCTCATACCGGGGCCCCTTATATATGCAAATCGATTCTTAAGGAGTAAACTCCAATAATAAATAAGTAGGTATTTGTAATGGTTTGTGAATGAAGGATTCGCTGACAAATTGTGAGTTATATCGCCGCGGCATGATTTCCTACCTCCTCACTCGCTCATTATAACAATCGACCAGGCGACAATAAAATTAAGTTGATAACAATTTCAATGTTATGTAAAAATTAAGATGGCGGCAGCGTGATGGCGAGGTCGTGCCGCCGATGAGCATTTAAAACTAGATTTCTATTTATTTTTATGTGTTTCTATCGGTAAATTTTGTTACTAAGTTTATGTTGATTTGAAATTTCGCCTCGAGGCGATGCGATGTTACTGTTTAGGCAATATCGACTGCAGCTATTGTTGGCAGCTCTCTCAGTAAAGGTACCTTTTGTCGATAAACAACCTTACAGCTGTTGTTTATCGACAAAATAAAAGCTGAACAAATTGCTTTATCCCCTCAAATGTGTAAGCAGTATGACGCTCAAGACCCTGTCTGTGTTAGCCCTCTCAATTTGTTTTTCACTGACGAATTTAATTTTATTTTCCTCTTATTATTCGAGTTCTATTGTACATTCAGGGTTCATTTTGTCTTAAATCAATGCTGAATAGTTTCTCTACAAACTTATCTATGTATAAAATGCGTAAAAAATTAAATAAATTTCTCAACTCATGGCAAAAATCTGCCATCTCCACAGACAGGGGTTATTTGACGTTGGCAGAAATCTGACATTTTTACTGACCAGGCGTAAATGAAATATTACCGAAGTTGCCAGTAAATTAAGTGGAATAATGTAATTCATTCATAGGCTATGTTAAAGTGCCTTTACTGTGTATAGAGTTGTTATACGCTGCTGTGGTTTATTGCATAAGGACCGCCCCGACCACTTCAATATCTTCTTTAACTCTAATTTCGTTCCATCTCATAGAACCTAACCTTATTCACAATAGTGTTGCCGATCGATAGTCGACTATCGATGATTAATCGATAAACTATCGATAGCATCGATACTGTCGATTTTATTTGCACCATACTATCGATAGTTTAACAATTTGCAATAGTATTGTTTACAATTTTCAGGTATTATAGTCAATCACAAACTTTAGTCTAGAACAATCGCTAGAATCGATACTATCGATAGTAATGTCTTTCAGATAAAATCAACACTATCGATAGTATGTTATTAACGAACTACAATAACATCGATAGTATTGCCTTGTTCTGAGCTATCGATAATATCGATACTATCGGTTGTATCGATAGGGTACATGATTTTCGATGTAAACTGTCGATAGTTTTAATATCGATAGTTCGGCAACACTAATTCACAATGATGTGCTGGGCATTAACAAGAACAAAAACTGTTGTGTTGTAAATTTATTTTTATTTAAAGAATAAAAGTTTTTTTCAAATCTCACAAAGTCTGTGAGATATTTAAGTAAATAAAACACCGAAATCTGTGGCAAAAGTTGTCTATTTCAAAAAAAAAAATATTGAACTTAAGTGTATTCAAAAAACAAACTAAATACCGTGATTCAGAACTTGCATAGAAAAATATTAAACATAACAGTAACGCCATCTATGGATGACTTTGATAATTAAATAATATTACTACAAACTTAAAAAGTTTCAATGGTATAGATGCACCAATTTTATTTATTTATTGACTGCAAAACGTCTGAATAATCTATTCAAGGCGAATATTTAATGAGTGGTCTGCGTGAAAACCTAAGAAACAAATATAATTTTTATTCTCGTACAAAAGCATTATAAGTAATAAATGAGCACCCATTTTACTGGTCGGGGCGATATTTAGGTATTTAGTATCGAAGTGTATTCTAATTCGCCGTTTCACGGAACTAACAACTGGAAAATGGCGCATTTCCGCTGATCAGATGTTTTGTATAAAATAATAATTATAGAGTTCTGTTTTTAGATTTTAATTATTGATATAAATATACAAAAATTATATTTGCACGTGGTTGTTTTATTTATGAACAGTTTTAGTTTAATCTGTGCAATCAAGATCATGTTTCCTTTACAAGCGACATCGTGCTAAGGGTAATAAATATTTGTAATGCAAGCGTGATTTTATATTTGTTAAAAATACATCATTCACAAATAGGGTATTTGACAATTTATAGAAAACGATCTCACGTTATTGACTAATGTTTATGGAGTCCGTAAAAAGTGGGTATTCATCAATCTGTTGTGTATTTCAGTAAAAATAACCAAAAAAAAAACTCCATTTTCAAGTTGCCGCGAAAACGTTTCTCTGGACAATATGGCGTCCTACTAGTGTGTGACGTCACACGACTGTTATTAAAACGTCAAATGATATAATGTAATGTCACTTTAACCGGAAGTTTACTTGCGTGTGACGTCATTTTAGGCTCCGCCAATCCCTAGCGTTTTGGGTCACGTGACAATAGATAAGAAAACTTATCTTTTTCGTGGGTTTTTAGTAAAATTATGAATATTTTTTTTTGTAAAAATAGTAAAAACCCCTGCCAATATTCATTCTAAACGCAGACACTAACAATTGGCACTTTATTTTTAATACTGTCAAATACCCTATTCATACCGTGTATCAAGTGAAGTAGGAAAAAAATATAAAAATAGCAATGAATTTAATAGCAACACAATAAGATAAATTAACAACTTGAGAAACCAGCCCCCTATTATAGTTCATTTATTGAAATCACAAAACAGATTGCACATCCCGCATGGAACATTCATCATTGTGGCAGTTTAGTTGCTACGATGCACAGATTTTCAGGAGACACTGTAAGCGGCACGAAGTAGTACAGCCGGGCATCGAATCCCGCATCGCGGAGCGCCAATACGCGCGCCCAGTCCACTAATGCCTTGCCTCGTCTTCCTATCTCTGCCTTCTCTTCTCCTGTCAACTCTAATTTCGTTTCTTCATTCAAAGTAATATTATCTTCTTCAGACCTCAATTGACCTTTCTGTATCTCTTCTTTTACTTCTTCGTTTAGCTGATCATCTTGTTCGCTCATTTCCGCTTCGTGTTGTACGTCCGTGTGTTTGTCATCGTTTTGTGTCGGTTTTGCATTGGTTCTCGGTGGGCGACTGCGTCCAGTACCGCACGTGGCCCACGATACTATGCGGAACAGGACTTGTAGTTCCTCCGATGTTATGCCCATATCCTGAAATCATGAATGAAAGTTGTACCGATCGTTTAGAAAGGAGATTGCTCAGCTTCCATACATGTTTGGCCTAAAGACCAATAATCATGAAAAATTGTTTCCTAGATTCGAAATTATATATAAATTACTGTAGAAACGAATATTATTGACGGACACCCCTGAGAACTTCTATAAACCATATACACTGAACATATTAAAATAATAAAAAACAAATAAGTTATATAGTGAACTAGGGAAATCAAGCCAGGTACCGAAATTATGGATTAGATTCAGGTATTTAGAGCTTGTAGATTAACAGATAGTTGCCTGTTTTTAAAGTTAATGCTTAAGAGTAACTTTTAAAATCAGGTGTCATTTCCGGTTATAATAAGATACTCTGTGACAGAAACTGTGTGAATGAGCCACAGATTAGAGAGAATTTTTAAACTCTAGTTAACCAAAGAAAGCTAAGAGATTTAGGTTCTATAGCCGAATATTCAGTAGTTCATTATTTTTGTTATGTTTTTAAGATAACCATATTTTAGTTTTTTAGTGTATCACACCTTATAATTTTATTTATTTATTAATTTATAGTCAGGGAACGTAGGCCCATAGACAGATACCTTAAAGTCGAACATATATACAGATTATAATGTGTTTATGGAGGTGTTTGGCGAAAAATGTATGGCAATAGACTTTATGATGTCGCCTACCAATCTTTAATAATTGTCTGAGCACATTTGCATCTAGTGAAAATGATAATATAGTGGTGGATATTAATACCACAGTGTATTAAAAAAAAAGATGTATTTTATCGATCTTTACAAAATAGATTTATTATTATTTATTTTTATGTTATATAAACAACTTCGATCAGTCTTTGGCTGAATGTTACTACACCCATAGCCATTAAAAATGATTCGAATGTTTTCCAAACCGGTAATATTAAAAGTCCTTTTTAAAGTAAATATATTATACAAAGGTGTCCGTTGAAATCTAATGACTGTAAATTAAATTATAAATTACGCCAAGAATTTTTGAGCATTTAGGCCAATTTGAGCAATCTCCTTTAAATCGGGTCAAGTGATGTACTCTAATATTTTTTTTTAAGAATAATAAATAGTATTCAAAATATTAAAAATAATGTGTCATATAGAAATTTGGCGACTTATTTCTTTGTCATACTATTCGCAAATGGAATAGGGTTGATGACGGGATACAGTAAACAAAATTCTATTTAGTCCGTCAGTTAGATGATCAAAAAATAATGGACACGTATTTTTTCTTTGGGCAATCAACCAAAAAGTGGCAAAGTTATAGCGCGTCAAAGTTGGGGAGTAGGGGCTCGTGACGTCACTTTTGAGTGAATTTTCAATTATAAGTGAACTCAAACGTGACGTCATGCGACTTTTCAAATCAATATATCTCTGCAATGTTTATATTATGTGAAAAAAGAAAAAATACGTGTACAATACTTTTTGATAATTTACCTGATAAACGAAGAAAAAAAAATAGTCATCATCCCTATTGTCTGTCCGTGCTTGTGAGCCCTCCTTCCTAAAATCTGGGGTCCTTTTAAAGAGGCATGAAGAATTAGTACTGCAGGCTGATAAGGTACTGCTTTAGGAGCTGCTTTCCAATAGAATTCGGGTAATCGACTAAATGTAAAGGAACAGAGTCGAGCAGGTGGCCAGCACTACGCCGCGAGTCTTGTGTGTGTGTGTGTGTGTGTGTGTATATACCTGCAGCTTGTGTGCGCCCAGTAAGTGCGCGGGCAGGCAGCGGTGATGGCAGCAGGTGGCCAGCACTACGCCGCGAGTCTTGTCCACTACGTCGTCGGCTATCACGCAACGTAGCGCATAGTCTGTACACCGAATACACATATGTAAGTAAAGATTTTTTGAAGTTATACTTCTTTAGGCGCGTTATGAAAAAATGATGAAGTTTAAGATGCGCGCGCATTACTGTAACACAAAATTTGCGTTACTTTTGTGTTTACCGCACATTAAGAAAATCTACCAACAAAATAGAAATAGAATCTCTATTTAGTGGGTGCTAACGACTGCATTGTGAAGGCCTATCAAAAGTATTTATTAATCTGGAACAACGGAACCAAAGCGCGATTCAGGAGACTACAGCGCCATCTCTTGACCATTGGTGTAGTAGAACCAAAAACCACATCGCCCGCGCCCCGCGCCCCGCGCCCCGCGCGCCCCCCGCACGCCCCGTATAGTCACCAGTGCCGGCGCCGCACAGATGCTTGGCGAGCCCCACCACGTGCGCGCCCCGCGCCCCGCGCCCCGCGCCCCGCGCCCCGCGCCCCGCGCCCCGCGCCCCGCGCCCCGCGCGCCCCCCGCACGCCCCGTATAGTCACCAGTGCCGGCGCCGCACAGATGCTTGGCGAGCCCCACCACGTGCGCGCCCCGCGCCCCGCGCCCCGCGCCCCGCGCCCCGCGCGCCCCCCGCACGCCCCGTATAGTCACCAGTGCCGGCGCCGCACAGATGCTTGGCGAGCCCCACCACGTGCGCGCCCCGCGCCCCGCGCCCCGCGCCCCGCGCCCCGCGCCCCGCGCCCCGCGCCCCGCGCCCCGCGCCCCGCGCGCCCCCCGCACGCCCCGTATAGTCACCAGTGCCGGCGCCGCACAGATGCTTGGCGAGCCCCACCACGTGCGCGCCCCGCGCCCCGCGCCCCGCGCCCCGCGCGCCCCCCGCACGCCCCGTATAGTCACCAGTGCCGGCGCCGCACAGATGCTTGGCGAGCCCCACCACGTGCGCGCCCCGCGCCCCGCGCCCCGCGCCCCGCGCCCCGCGCCCCGCGCGCCCCCCGCACGCCCCGTATAGTCACCAGTGCCGGCGCCGCACAGATGCTTGGCGAGCCCCACCACGTGCGCGCCCCGCGCCCCGCGCCCCGCGCCCCGCGCCCCCGCGCCCCGCGCCCCGCGCCCCGCGCCCCGCGCCCCGCGCGCCCCCCGCACGCCCCGTATAGTCACCAGTGCCGGCGCCGCACAGATGCTTGGCGAGCCCCACCACGTGCGCGCCCCGCGCCCCCGCGCCCCGCGCCCCGCGCCCCGCGCCCCGCGCCCCGCGCCCCGCGCGCCCCCCGCACGCCCCGTATAGTCACCAGTGCCGGCGCCGCACAGATGCTTGGCGAGCCCCACCACGTGCGCGCTGCGCGCCCCGCGCCCCGCGCCCCGCGCCCCGCGCCCCGCGCCCCGCGCGCCCCCCGCACGCCCCGTATAGTCACCAGTGCCGGCGCCGCACAGATGCTTGGCGAGCCCCACCACGTGCGCGCCCCGCGCCCCGCGCCCCGCGCCCCGCGCCCCGCGCCCCGCGCCCCGCGCCCCGCGCCCCGCGCCCCGCGCGCCCCCCCGCACGCCCCGTATAGTCACCAGTGCCGGCGCCGCACAGATGCTTGGCGAGCCCCACCACGTGCGCGCCCCGCGCCCCGCGCCCCGCGCCCCGCGCCCCGCGCCCCGCGCCCCGCGCCCCGCGCGCCCCCCGCACGCCCCGTATAGTCACCAGTGCCGGCGCCGCACAGATGCTTGGCGAGCCCCACCACGTGCGCGCCCCGCGCCCCGCGCCCCGCGCCCCGCGCCCCGCGCCCCGCGCCCCGCGCCCCGCGCGCCCCCCGCACGCCCCGTATAGTCACCAGTGCCGGCGCCGCACAGATGCTTGGCGAGCCCCACCACGTGCGCGCCCCGCGCCCCGCGCCCCGCGCCCCGCGCCCCGCGCCCCGCGCGCCCCCCGCACGCCCCGTATAGTCACCAGTGCCGGCGCCGCACAGATGCTTGGCGAGCCCCACCACGTGCGCGCCCCGCGCCCCGCGCCCCGCGCCCCGCGCCCCGCGCCCCGCGCCCCGCGCCCCGCGCGCCCCCCGCACGCCCCGTATAGTCACCAGTGCCGGCGCCGCACAGATGCTTGGCGAGCCCCACCACGTGCGCGCCCCGCGCCCCGCGCCCCGCGCCCCGCGCGCCCCCCGCACGCCCCGTATAGTCACCAGTGCCGGCGCCGCACAGATGCTTGGCGAGCCCCACCACGTGCGCGCTGCGCGCGACGGGCCCCGCGCCGGCCAGCACCACGTGCTGCAGCTCCGCGCGCAGTCGGCACACGCCACCATCGGACGATGCTTCCTCTGGTACCACGGAACAAAGAAACAAGTTACAAAGGTGATCGATCACACACCGTTTGTATAGGAACCGATTTCGCCGGCTAGCTATTTCCGCCCGCCCAAAAGTTTTTTGAGCTTAGGGAATAAGTGGATGTGTGATGGTACTAGATCAGGCGAATATTTGCCCTAGCTTTAATACATGTGAGAACCCTAGCATTGTCTTGATGGCAAATGTATTTTTTTTCGCCATACCTGGTCGTTTTTGCTGAATACATTGATGAAGCTTATCTAGAAGATTAGCGTAATATTTTCCATTAATTGTTTGACTTTTAGAAAAGTAATCTATCATCAAGATTCCATCTGCATCCCAAAATACGGAAGCCATCAGTTTTCCGGACGACTTTACAGCCATGGCTTTTGGAGCCGGACATCCCGATTGATGAATTTTTGATTCTGGCGTGTAATGATGAACCCATGTTTCATCTGTTGATACAAATCGACGTAAAAAATCGGCTTTATTACTCTGAAAACGGTCCAGACATTCTTTTGAATTTTAGGATATAATGTACCCGTTCTTTTGAGATACCTGTAGTGTCAGCTATTTCAGATAACTTCAATCGTCGATCTGATAAAACCATATCATGTACTTTCACGACCATTTCCGGAGTCGTGATGCCTTTTCCGGGGCGGGTTTCATCTTGGACACATGTACGACCGCGTTTAAAATCAGCCACCCAGTTTTTTACTGTGGCATAAGAAGGAGCACATTCACCCAAAACATTCTTTAACTCGTCATAGATATCTTTCCCCTTCATGCCCTTCATATCAGGGTATACAATCTTAGTTGATCGAAGGTGTCAATTCAGTCAAAGTAAAACGACTCTATTAAAATGGTCGAAAAAGTAAATGGAGTCTGTACAAAGTGTAGACATTTTAATTTTTCTTCATTATAATAATATAATTACTAACCTAATCGCTGGTTGTCGCTACTGATGCGTATAATGCCAATAAATTAAAAAACGCAATAATCTAAACAATGATGCAGCAGTGGTGTAACTTTTTAATTTAGTAGATTAGTTTGTTGGAAATAGTTTGAAGTTCTTCGGCATTTCTACTAAATTAGACGTAAATTTAAAATAATAGGTTGATCGTGATTTATTTAATATAAAAGAAAAAAAACTTTTTTATGTTATTTGAAACTGTTTTTACCCATTTACATTTTCTTTAAAATATATTGTGTATTATTTAAATAAATGTGCAAAAAATATTCAAAAATGTTAATTTATGGGTAGTTTTTTTGGGGTTTTTATGTTTGTGTAGCAACTTAAAATAAGCACTCCTAAAAAAACGGAAACTTAATTAATGCCTCCAGTCGAGATCAGCGCCGCCCGCCGGGGTGACGACCGGCGGCCACCTGTGTAGGTACCTACTACACGCACAGATGACTCGGCGCTTACCTACTCTCCGCTTTGATTCCACACTATTTAAAAACATTACAATAAAATAGTCTTAGATGCTATATTATAATTATTTATTCACTGATACACAATACCTTTGAATATTATTTCATAAAGCACAGGTAATTAATCAATAAAATAAATCTTCTGTTAGAGCAAATAAAAATCCTATAAAGTTAATATGACTGTCACGATTTTAAATCGGTAAAGCCCGTCTGTTAGTGTAAGAACTTCTTTTTTATTGTTAATATTAGTTGCCTCGTTTAATTAAAACTTAAGCACAAACGGCTTATTTAAAATTGTGAAAAATCATACAGAGTAAATCGGTATAACTTAGCTTAGTGAAGGAAAGAAGGAACTCTTTGTGTCTGATTTGCCCACGTCATGAAATTCCGAACACATTTAATCACAGCCACAGTCACACACACACACACACACACACACACACACACATAATAATATGTTGTTTTGCGGCAAGCACGGCCGGGCGGCGCGCCGCACGCTGGCAACTAGCGCCGGTTGCGGCGTCTTTGATGATGTAAATTCCGCCCACCTCCCCTCTTCCCCGCACGCGGTTATAGACACGTGCAGCGCTAGCGCCGGTTGCGGCGTCTTTGATGATGTGAATTCCGCCCACCTCCCCTCTTCCCCGCACGCGGTGGTTTGCTTTGATTGCATGCAAAGCGCAGTCGCAAGTATATCAATCGCGCGTGGGCGTGCGCATCTTTTGACTTAGTGACATACACTGTGATAATTTCATTATGCCTCGGTATACGAACCAAGAATATTTAGAGATGGTGTACTGCTATCGCGAGTGTGACGAAGTAGGTTTGGTTTACGAATGAGTCCCCAAACCATAGAAGTTGCATTTTGTGCAGTGAGTAGTGATAGGGACACTTTAAAAAAGGTGAAAAGACACGTCCGCAAACGTGCCTACCTTTGTTTGCAGCAAAATGGTGGTTTAGAGCAACAATTTTGCAGATAATAATTTAAGTCTCTTTTTATTGCTAGTGTAAATACTTTTTGATTAGAAACAACTAATTGTGTACTACCAGATGATTGTACTACAGAGTGATTGATTTGATAAAAAGTTCTAGTGAAAAAAATGAATATGTTCCTCGTTCCTCGTTGTACCTACCTACATCGCCGGTCTCGTAAGTACTTTTGAATAGGTACCTAGTTATAAATTTCATTCTGACCCAAGTATTGAACTGCAATAAGTATTTCTTTTTGTTTAACATTTGCCTATTTCCAATCGTGACAAAATTATTAATAACTTTTAAAGTTTTTCTCTGCTTAAGAGAAGATGACATTTGTGCTTATTATTTCAATTTCAATAAAGGCATCTAAAACGATTTTATTGTATTGTGTGAAATCAAAGGCACGGTAATAATATTTACCGTGTCAAAGGAGTCAGCTGAGCTCTGTGTAGAGGTAGGTACCTACTCACTCAACGGCTGGCGGGCGCGGTCTGTCGTTGACCCGCGGTGGAATTTTAATGTTTTTCCGTTTTTTAGAAGTGCTTATTTATTAGTTGTTTTTCACTGGATATGTAAGTTTTTTGTTTAAAATGAATGACTACTCAAAAGGAGGAAAGGACATAAAAATACACAAATTATAAATAAATACATAAAAAAAATATACTTCAAAAAATTCCTAAAAAAATCAGGCATACTCTATACACGTAACCCAACAATCTCACGAAGTTTCATAGAAACATTAAATTTCACCCTGTATACACACCTGGCGTAGTGGGGCTGAGCTTGTTGTCCCGCTTGTGCCTCAAGGCAGCGCGGTCCAGCAGCAGCACGGAGCCCGACCGCGCCCGACACCACGCCTGCCATACGTAGTACGACAAGTGACCTGCCAATCATCAGCCAAACTCAAAATAATTTATTCAGTTTAGGCTGCTACAAACACTCATGAGTGTCCAGCTACCCTATCGATTCTTAAATCTACGGCGAGAGAACTTGCACTGAAAAGAACCGGCAAGAAACTCAGCATGAGAGGTAATTTTCTATCTGTATTATTACTTACAGACTTAAATTAAAACAAAAAGAGAAAATGCGGTACGCTCATACTAGCATCAAATAAAATAAGATCCGACTCAACTATATGAACAACTGTCATAGACGCACACGTCTGTATATAAACATTCAATCGAGCGAGCGAGACGCAACTGTACGCATCAACGCAGCGCGAGCGAAACGGCGAGTCCGCTTCCGAGTCCGCACAGCTGAGCTGTATTGTTGTCCTTTTCTTGATAACAAAATGGCGATTACGTAAAAAAGGAGATTGCTCAAATTGGCCCAAATGCACAAAAAATATTGACATACACGGTAATTCTTGGCGTAATTTAATTTACAGTCATTAGATTTCAACGGACACCTTTGTATAATATATTTACTTTAAAAAGGACTTTTTTTTCCGGTTTGGAAAGCATACGGATCACAATCATCACCCAGTTTCTGTCACAGAGTACCTTATTATAACCGGAAATGACACCTGATTTTAAAAGTTACTCTTAGGTATTAACTTTAAAAACAGGCAACCATCTGTAAATCTACATGCTCTATATACCTGAATCTAATCCATAATTTCGGTACTTGGCTTGATTTCCCTAGTTTACTATATAACTTATTTATTTTTTATTATTTTAATATGTTCAGTGTATATGATGGTTTATAGAAGTTCTCAGGGGTGTCCGTCAATAATATTCATTTCTACAGTAATTTATATATAATTTCGAATCTAGGAAACAATTTTTCATGATTATTGGTCTTTAGGCCAAACATGTCACGGCCAAACCACGGTTTTTGAGAAAAAAATGTTTTTACAGTTATACGAATGAAAAGTGTTGACGAGGCATTTGTTATTTGATTTTGAACTACATATGTGTTCTCTGTAAAAGCATCGAAGGCATTCTTTTATCTTTATATGGCAGAATATACGCAATATTGTTATATTGAGTGCACATGCAGCGTGTTTGAAAGCGAATTGTGATCATGCACCACAATTTAAGCGGGTCACTTTTGAGCCGCGAGTGCCATATCTTCCCCTTTTGTTTTAATGTAAGTTTACTTATTTTTTAGATTTAAGTCATTTACTAACAATAAAACTGTGATACACTTCCATCTTATTGAATGATGAAAAATATATTATCACAATAGGTATTTATGATTATTGAATTTTAATGAAAAACTCAGAATTTTACTGTTTTTAATTTTTTTTAACGATATTACTTAATGTTACAAAAAAGGTTTACTTAATATAATGACAAATAACCCATTTTTCGCTAGTAAGTACATACTTATAGGAATCCCTGTATTTATTAATCAGCTCGCGATAATATTGGTTTTGTAATTATTCTGCAAAATTCAAAGTAAATGTAACAATTGATATTAAATCAAGATTCATTATTATTAAAAAAAAAACTAAGCTTACAGAGTAGTCAAGTTGAAAAATGATTTTGGGGATGATTCATGAAGGCACTTTCCATTACACAATGTGTAACATACATTAATTCCTCCTCTTCCAATTGCGATACCCTACACTACAGGGTCCATAATGCACTTTTTATCTGTTAATATTACCACCACCTTTGTATCTCCATTATGGTCCGCAATAAATGAATTGAATTGAATAATTGTTAACCTGCATTTTGATTGCTGTGTCCAGTATAAATGCAAATAACGTTATTTATATCTGGTATAACGACTCTATTTTCACATGCAAAATGTCATGCCGTATTTTGTATTTCTATACCAAAATTCAGCATAATCGGGTAAGTGGTTAAGACGTATCAGAGAAACAATACATGTAAATCAAATTTACTGAAATTTGAGGCAAAACATATTTCCTATTTCAGTTAGACTTTTTACAAAAAGTTGAAAAACAAATTAATCTCGATTTATCTGTCGGGATCATGAAACACCAAATCACCTTCTTTAAGAATGTGTACCTCTTATCCACAAACATACAATCACCTGCGACGACATATAATACGCCCTGAGGAAATCAAATCTCTAAAAGCTTAAAACGTTGAGTTTTTTACGAAGCCGTCAGACGAAAAATTATAATTTAATGTGGTGGCGAGTCACAATAAATCTTTTAGGTCCCAGTGACAACAGTTCCGCTGGGACTGCATAACCTTAAAAAAATATGAAATAACTAGCGGCCCGCCCTCGCTTCGCTTCGGTGTAGAGCTGAAGTGTAGACTACAGTTTTTGTTCTCAGGCTTGTATTATACACAATGACATTCATCTATGATTCTTCTTATACCTGCATGCAGTCCCAGCCCGATCGGTTTAAAATTGACAAAGTTTCATACAAACTTTCATTCCCTATTTTATCCCCTTGGGGGTAGAATTGATCAAAATCCTTTCTTAGCGGATGCCTACGTCATAACGTCTAACTGCATGCCAAATTTCAGCCCGATCCGTCCAGTGGTTTGGGCTGTGCGTTGATAGATGACTATGTCAGTCAGTCACCTTTGAGTTTTATATATATAGATGTGGTGGCGAGTCACAATAAATCTTTTAGGTCCCAGTGACAACAGTTCCGCTGGGACTGCATAACCTTAAAAAAATCTCTTATCTATTAGACAAGTCCGTCCGTCTGTCTGTGGTGCTGTTTCAGCGGCCAAACCGTAAGAGATAGATAAAGAGAATGTTTAAGTTATAAGTTAAGAATAGTCTGATAAGACTAATAACCGGATTTGAGTAACGTAGCACTTTCGGTTTTCGAGAAATCACGTGATTTCTATTTTGTAATTATTACAATTTTAATTAACTATTTAAGCTTAATTTTTTTTCTTTTTTACTAATTAATTTCAAACGAAACCACACAAAATCTCCGAAGTTCTCAATTAATTAAATACATTTTTTAAATCAGGTTTTGGTGAATATTTGGTTCACTGGTTTGCTAGTATGAAATAATAATGTAGGATATTGCGCACGAACCTTTCCCCGCGCCGAGTTCGACGTAGCAGGTGTCGGGCCGCACCAGCATCGCCCGCTCCGCCGCGCGCAGCAAGCTCGACGCCTGCCGCAGGTGGCGCAGCGAGCTCTCCGTGCGGCTCGCATCCTACACTCATCGCTACAATATTCTACATAGGTATCTCTTATCTATTAGACAAGTCCGTCCATCCGTCCGTCTGTCTGTGGTGCTGTTTCAGCGGCCAAACCGTAAGAGATAGATAAAGAGAATGTTTAAGTTATAAGTTAAGAATAGTCTGATAAGACTACAAACCGAATTTGAGTAACGTAGCACTTCCGGTTTTCGAGAAATCACGAATTTCAAACGAAACCACACAAAATCTCCGAAGTTCTCAATTAATTAAATACATTTTTTTTTCTTTTTTTAAATCAGGTTTTGGTGAACATTTGGTTCACTGGTTTGCTAGTATTTACTTAATTCAAAATTCAATATCGTTTATACAGTCCGGGCTGTTACAAGCACTTGTGAATGTCGAAAAGCTACGCCATCGGTTCGCAAATCTACGGCGGGAGACCTTGTACTAAGAAGAACCGGCAAGAAACTCAGCAAGGGCTGTTTTTTTCTCCCTGTATTGTATACAGAGTCATCAAATTGAAAAATGACTTCAATATGAGGTAACTCATAAAGTCACATTCCATTACAAATGCAAATAATATAAAAATTATGACCATATAAAAAACTGGTTTAAAACACATGGATACTATGTTACAAAGATAGAAAAAAAATATATAAGTACCAGAGTACATTATTATAACAAACTATAAACATAACGGCAGGACACATGCATGCACTTTTTGGGTACACCCAGGGGCGTATTTTGAAATAATAATATAATAATAATAATATTTCCAACACTCACACCAATTAGTCTAGCCCCAAAGTAAGCACTGTAAGGCTGTGTTATGGGATACTAGGGTAACGGATAGAATTAGTGTCCGACCGAAGGTTCGGTTTCGGTTTCGGTTTCGGCCGAGTTTCGGCCAAAAATCAAGTTTCGGCGGCAGTTTCGGTTTCGGCCAAAATTGGCCGAAACTTTTGCCGAAACCGAAACTGATTGCGGAAGTTGTCGTGCAGGCTCGCTTAACTTCGTTTCTCGCGGCAACGCATTGGCGGACGCTGGCGGCCCTGATCAGGAATTCTCGTGCGCCGTTCGGATAGCTCCGTAGCACACACAACTTAGTGCGTTATCGCCCGATGCAAACATTCTTTAGAGGTTATGTTATGATGGAACTTCTAAGAGATTTATGATTCTTCTAAGTACAAATACAAACCAAAGTATTAATAAGATTTCAAAATACCAATACTTAGTATTTAATGAAACAGTAAAAATTAGTGATTTGATTATTGATAAAGTCATTCACCCTTATTGCCATTCGGCTTTGGAATGCACTTCCTCTAGACGTTCGAAATGCTCCAAACAGAACGGTGTTTAAGAGTTCGGTGCGGGAACATTATTTGAATTTGTTGCATAGTGCTTAAGTTGAATCGGGATGCTAAAATCGGACACTATATTATAGGTATATTATGTATATATGTGTGTGTATGTATGTATATTTATGCTTCTATGTATGTATATGTGTATGTATTAAACGCTATTTAATTTTGTTTTTCATTGTTTGATGTTTGCTCTTTCCTATGATTGTCTGCCGTTTAATTGACTCTGCACGTTCTTTCCGGTTGACTGGTAGAGAATGCCATGCTGGCATTAAGTCCGCCATATGCAATGTAAAGGCATTAAAGATTAAATAAAATAAAATAATAAAAAATAAATAAAGCTGATAAAAAGGAGATTGCTCAAATTGGCCCAAATGCACAAAAAATATTGACACACGGTAATTCTTGGCGTAATTTGTAATTTAATTTAGTCATTAGATTTCAACGGACACCTTTGTATAATATATTCACTTTAAAAAGGACTTTTCATTTTACCGGTTTGGAAAACATATGAATCATTTTCAATGGCTATGGGTGTAGTAACATTCAGCCAAAGACTGATCGAAGTTGTTTATATAACATAAAAACAAATCTATTTTGTAAAGATCGATAAAATAAATATTTTTTTTATTACACTGTGGTATTAATAACATTTATATTATCATTTTCACTACATGCAAATGTGCTCAGACAATTATTATGATGGTAGGCGACATCATAAAGTCTATTGCCATATATTTTTCGCTAAACACCTCCATAAACACATTATAATCTGTTTAGACTTTAAGGTATCTATCTATGAGCCTACGTTGCCTGACTATAAATAAATAAAAATTATAAGGTGTGATACACTAAAAATCACACACACAATCACAAAAAAATGAAGCTACTGAATATATGGCTATATAACCTAAACCTCTCAGCTTTCTTTGGTTAACGAGAGTTTAAAAATTCTCTCTAATCTGTGGCTCATTCACAATCATCACACAGTTTCTGTCACAGTACCTTAGTACCTTATTGTAACCGGAAATGCATATATGACACCTGATTTTAAAAGTTACTCTTATGCATTAACTTTAAAAACAGGCAACTATCTGTTAATCTACATGCTCTATATACCTGAATCTAATCCATAATTTCGGTACTTGGCTTGATTTCCCTAGTTTACTATATAACTTATTTGTTTTTTATTATTTTAATATGTTCAGTGTATATGGTTTATAGAAGTTCTCATGGGTGTCCGTCAATAATATTAGTTTTTACAGTAATTTATATATAATTTCGAATCTAGGAAACAATTTTTCATGATTATTGGTCTTTAGGCCAAACATGTATGGAAGCTGAGCAATCTCCTTTTGCTAAGAGAACTTTATTTGTATTTTTTTTTTAATATTTTTATATAATTATATTAAATAACTGATAAGAACAAAATTAAAGTACTGTGTTTCCATTTCATGTCCTAATTAATGCAGAATAATCGGTAAAATGGACCAAATTTCAGTATTTTAAGGAATTTTATACTTGACCACGTGAGTTTCGGTTTCGGTTTCGGTTTCGGCCGAAACTGAAGCCACGGCCGAATGTTCGGTTTCGGTTTCGGCCGGAAAACCAGTTTCGGTCGGACACTAGATAGAATACATATACTGTGCATATATAAGTATATTTATTTAGAAATACATATTAAACATCCATGACTGGAGTACAAATGTTCGTGTTCATCACACAAACATCTGCCCCCACCGGGATTCGAACCCGGGACCTCTCCAGTAAGCGACACCATGAAACCCGGCAAACCACTCGGTCACGGAGGTCGTCATTAAAAATTGAGAAATGTGACATCCCAGATCATTTACGATTCGCACCATGTAAGATTTGTAAATCATATAACAATATGAGTCAGTAACTAATATACTTTTATTTATGGTTTCTGCCACCCTGGGACATGCCCTCTTGGCTCTAGGGTAAAACGCCCCTGGGTAAAACTGATCTGGAAAACCACTTTTACAAAATGTTAAAATTTAATTCCTTTATATAAAAAAATTGCAAAAACCATCAGTTATGGTAAAGTAAGTTTTTCAAGCAGCAGTAAACAGTTACATTTGATTAGTTTGACAGCCAAGTTGAGCATTGACTTGTACGTACAAGTCTGGCACGGTTCCCAACTTAGGGGTTTTGCCCCCCAATTTAGGGGCTAGAAGTGTTAAAACAGACTTTTTAGGGCCTAGAATTTTTTGGGGGTTCTTTCAGGGGCTTTTATCAAAACTTGCAATGAAATCAAAAAACAAAGCGTGTGTTTTCTTTCAGTTTTGTGTGTAGAATGGAACGCACCACGATATGAAACGACTGAACTGACTGTGTGGCATGTTGTTTCCTAAGGCTGTATGGACTAAAGTTAAAAAAACAGCTAAGATTTAACAGTCTGTCAGCACATTTTCGTTTGATTGTCCTTTCGGAAACTGTATTTATTCAATAAAATAATTTACTGTAACTAATTAAGTAATGTTTTAATTTATGAGCAACGAAAGAATTTGGGTAATAAGTAGGTACTTCAAAAATTGTATATTTAGGGGATATTAGGGGAATTTAAAAAATACTTAGGGTTAAATTTTGGTAAGGGTTGGTAACACTGAAGTCTCGCTATAGACATATGTTTAAATGATCAACAAAAAATGATAATTAATCCTTAAAAAAATACAATTAGCAACCTAATCTAACCTTTACTTTACCATTTGCATTTTTTAAGTTAACATTTATTATTTTTTTGAGGATCATTTAAATGCTTACTTATATGAGTTGACATAAACTATTCACACCATATGACACAAACTAATTCGTATCTCACACTTGCGTGATGAAGCATTGGGTGGCTTTTTTGAAGGCTAAAATTAACATTCGAAATATGTATTTTTCTGTTGTAATGAATTATCCGCCTGCATGCCTATAGACATTAGCTTGATTGGTGATCATTTGGAAAGAAGTAACCAAGTGGTTGACAGAAGGAATTGTGTGGTAAAATGTTGGTTAATATAGCACGAGTGTGATTTTAATTTCTATTTAAATTAGATTTTATGTTTGTTATATGTATTTTTAAATAAAAATTGAGAATATGTTATTCTGTTATTTTTTTCAACAGTGACTTCCTAGTCTAAGTTGAGACTTCCTAGTCTCATTGTTATAAAACTTATCCATGCCAAATTTTAAGAAGATTGGATAACATTAAGAGGTTGCACAGACGGGCAAGGGAAGTCAGAAAAAAGAAAAAAAAATGCATAGCAAAATTAAACACCCGAATGTGCTACTAAAGGAGAACTTCTTAGTCTAAGTTGAGACTTCCTAGTCTCAATGTTATAAAACTTATCCATGCCAAATTTCAAGAAGATTAGATAACATTAAGAGGTTGCACAGACGGGCGAGGGGAAGTCAGCAAAAAAAAAATTGCGTAGCAAAATTAAACACCTTAATGTGCTGCTAAAGGAGTAAACTTAATGAGGGTTTTCTGAAATGACGGGCACCAGGTGGCTGTACTGAGACGAAAGGTTACTCATCCGTCAAATCGCATATGTTCTCATAGTCTATGGATCTGGTCTATGGAGTTCGTGCCAAAACTTCATACAAAAGACCTCGCGTCACAGTGGCGTCAACTGGCGACGTCAATTTTCACAAACACCCTCATTCAAAGCTCAAACAATAATTTTAGAACATTTCAGTACCAAAGCCACCGGAAGCCATCATGCAAAATGTGATAACATACCTGAAAGTCAGCTAATATAGTTTCGTGGATTTCCTGCTCCTCAATAGTTTCCACAGTGTTCATAAGGTACTCTGTAAAATTGAGTTTCATTTAATACTTTTGATATTAAAAACAAACTTACTATTTTGATAAATAACAAAGAATTGTTGAAATAAATTAAAATACCAATTATTTTAGCGTGTAATGAAAAACCTATAAACATCAATAGCATCTAGGCACTGGCCTTACGTACTTTCATAGAGTTTGTTGATTTTGTTAATAACCTGCGCCACTGTTTCTTTAGGCACCTGGTTTAATATTATCTGCTTCAAAGGCTCCTCATTAGCAGGCACATTGACATTCAGTTTGAGGTATGGTGGTAATGGCCTTGGACGGGCGTTACATACTAATAAATGTTTTTGAAGTTTACTCGCATAGCAGGTGCTGAAAGTTAATGAAAATACTTTTAGGAGCTCATAACACACTCAATGTTGGAAATGTTGGTGAATAGAATTTTTCTTTCGTATAAGATACAATATTATGCGAAAAATAAATATTAAAAAAATACTTACTGCTTTGGGTCATTCGGACAAGGGATCCTATAATCCTTCTGCAAAAAAATAACAGGATTTAAAATAAATTAGGTAAATAAATATCGATATCTTTACACTCTAAGAAATTCACATTAAATTCGGAATGTATTTTGAATTTATTGTACCATTCCAAAGAATTATTCTAATGAAGTTTTATTCTAACCTGTCCATCTTCAGTTTTCGGATCTGGTTCGTGTTCTCCGCAAAATATTCGGCCTGGACGCACGGTCATACGACACCGTCGTTTCTTTCTAACAACAAAATACTGACATTGCTGTTGTATCGATTGAGGACTAATATTTATTTCACAATCGTTCATTTTGAACAATATGTTTTGTTTGTTTACGTTACGTGTATAGTTAGAGGTTATATCAGTTTTGTTTTTTTAAGATTCTCCCATTTCAATGAAGGCAAAGGGAACAATGCCCATACAGTCTTCAGTTTAATTAAGACTTATCTTCTTTTTTATTTTTACATTAGAATGAATATAATACATTATAATGTTTCTTGGCGTATTTGGCACGAAATGTATCGATACGCTTTCTCGAAAAGCTTCTGTGAGATAGTCACCCTTACAATAAAGTTCCCAGATCACGTCTACTTGACAAGAATAGCATATATTTTAGATTCCACAATTTTTTCAGTTGCGCAGACGGTTGTTTGTAACCATTGTAACATAAAATCACACCAATTTCGCATAAAATAATATAAATATTACCAACATTCACACCAATTAGCCTAGTCCCAAATTAAGCATCCCACCTGGACTTGCACCCGAGACCTCTCGAGTAGATACTTTGAAACCCGGCGTACAACCATTCGGCCACAGAGGTCGTCAAAATAATACAAGATCCGGAACGAATTAAAAAATAATTAAATTGATGATCACGCCAACTGCACTCGATGAAATCGCGCAAAAAACCCCCTTTGTAAGATATATCCATTAAGCATAGAAAACAATTAATACAGCCAAGTGACATTCGAAATAATTAATGTAGTCTCTATGATATATTTTTTATTTTATGTTGGCGATGTTGTTATGTCATTAAAACGTCAACAAATTTTGAGGTTAGGCGTCGCATAGTTTTGATTTATTTTAGTTATATTAGCGTATTATGTAGTTTAGGTAATGTGAAATGAGTTCTCCGAGCAAAGAAAATGAAGAGCCCTCGTCGAGCGGCGCAGGGATGCAGGAAGAGACTGGTATTAGTGGTGGTGAGAGCGCATCTGCGGAGGCGCCGCGGCCGCCCGCCAAGCGGCCGCTCTCGACGGCTGTGATCGAGATATCGGACACTGATAGTGATGATTCCGACGTATGCGCCGTCAACTCGTATCAGGCCTCAGTTGACGAAGTGAAGAGGATTCGTGGTGGTGAGAACCATTTAATAAAACTTCTTAGTTTCCAATCTTAACGCTTGGGCTTAGCGCGGGAAATTTGATGTTTACAACTTAGACACTTCTAGTTCTTTTCTTGAGTGGTGTTTAAATATTGCTTGGATGGTTTTTGTTAGTCAATAAAATGCTAACTAGCACCCTGTTTGCTTTTTGGTTGCAGATTATTCTTCATCATCATCATCTTCGTCAGATTACAGTTCAGATTCAGAGTCTCCATGGGAGGACGACTCAATAGTTATAGAAGACAATAAAGCTGACATTAAACCAATCAAGGCACAGCTTAATCCAAGAGCAAATCGCATGGATGACCCAAAGCTAAATCCAGCATTCAAAGTATGAATAATAATGATGTAACTATAGTCTACTCACATTGGCGTGAGACAAAATGTAAACAAACAATTAAAAGGATACTTTTTAAGGTCACATTTGACAAAAGAAAAAACTTAAATACTATTTGCATAGAATATGCAGTGAAAATTTAAGTTAGTAATTCCAAAAGTTGGTACATACATATGATTAAGAAAATAAAATATTTTACACATTTTTAACGTACATACACATCATAAATTTGTATATTTTTATATTGCTGATAAAAGCATTTTAACAACTTATGTTGACATGGAAAAAGACCTAAAAACAATCATTCCCAAACCTAAGATGTATTATAATATGACAAAATTTAAAAGTAGACATGATATAAGTTTTTTATGTTGAAGTGTTGTGTTTTGTAATCGGTTGGTTTACGTCAGGCATCTTTACTCTCCCAATCAACCTATTGTCATGAGCGTGCATATTATACATATCGTATTTGTTAAGTTCTTGTTATTTCCTTGTATTATTTGTTGAGGTTGTTGTTATATTTATACTGTTAAGTTTAAAGTTGTTAATAAATTATAGGTTGCATAAATTTTACCTAATCATTGATGATTAGGACATTATAAAAGTTTTAGAACCTCAGATTCTTTGTTTACATTTTGTCTCATGCCAAAGTGAATAGACTATAGTGCTTATATATTTTGGTGTATCAATAAAGATTTCTAACCAGGTGATTTTACATTTTAGGTACAAGAAAACAAAGATAATCTAGCAGCAAATTGGAAAGAATTAAAAGATTTTACAAATGGTGATATTACGTTGACATGTGAACCATTTAGGATTTGCTTATTAAAAAATTTCCTAGCCAATCCTGAGATTATCAACAACATGGTAGATGATATGAATACATTAGACTGGGAGCGTAAGAAGATGGATCTGTACGAGTTCCACCAGACAGCAGATCTGGCGAGCCTCACATGGCAGCGTAGCATTAGGGGAATCTATGAACTTTTGAAGACTGAAATTATGAGTTGGGTAAGAGGAAACTTGTTTTTGTGTGTGAAATTGTAGTTTAAGTTGATAGGCTCAGTTTTTCATATAGGACTAGCTGACCCAGCGAACTTCGTACCGCCCTAAAAAAATAGGGGTTGTCCAGCGGACAAAATTGTGAATCTAAACCATTCTCAGATCCCCTTGAACACACACAAAAATTTCATCAAAATCATTTAAGAGAAGTTCAGTGACATACACACTCACAGAAGAATTATATATATAAAGATTAACCAAAAAAATATTTATGTTGAAATAAAACTTCTTTCAACTTGTGTTACTTACTGTGAAGTCTGTTAGAATAAATTTAGTTTTAAAATATGTCCAAGTTGTTAGACAATTTTTTACCTACTAAAAAGTAACAAATCACAAAGGAGAACAACCACTTTGTATCGGGGTTGGTACAGGTACCAAGTTCTTTGTACAGGCAAAATATATACCATTGTAAAGCTTATTGTTAAAATAAACTGCCAGCCTTTAATTGAATTGGATAGCTAGATGGGTTAATGAGATATTTCTATTTGAAATTAATTAAAAATCAAAAATATTTTAATTATAAAAATGATTTTTCTGGTCTAATCTACTTAATAAAACATTTTTTAACAAATTTGGAACAAGTAACTGTCTACGAAGACATAGCCGTAACAGAGTCCATAGAACAAGACTGAAATCAGTGTCGTCTTTTATCAAACATCTAGTTGTCAATGAAACCATAGAAAAATAGCACAAATCACAATATCAAAGAAAGAAAATGGAAAACACACAAAAAACATTTACATTTTACATGTCATAATGACAGACCACTTACAGGCATTGTCATTATAAGTTGACATGTGATGTTAGTTACATGACTGTGAATATTTTTTTAATAATACTAGCTGACTCGGCGAACTTCGTACCGCCCAAAAGTAATAATTTGCAATAAATTAAAATTGCGACTATAATTTGAGATTTAAACTATCCTATCTCTCAAGTTGGATCGAACTGCACATGGTGTGTGAATTTTATTATAATCGGTTCAGTGGTTTAGGAGTCCATTGAGGACAAACATTGCGACACGAGATTTATATATAATAAGATAATATTTTGCCTGAGATTTGCAGTTAAAAAACTCTTAATTAATATGTGATTTTGTTCTTACAATTAATTGACGTTAAAAACGTAACTTTATTTTTTTAGTAGTACTTCAATAAAACATTCAATTTATGAATAGAAGAATTGATTGTTTTGAATATAATGGCAAACTACATTTCTGTATGCACTGAACGCTATGTTTCTTTAGATGTTAAAGGTATTATACTATTTTGAGTTTTACCACTAGCTAAAAAATGCTTTTTAACTTATATTACTTAGTTTTTAATGCTTAACATTATATCAAACAATAATGTTTGTACAACATCAGTACCAAAATGGTTGTTCTCCTTAAATTTCCAAAAAACTGTATATGCCACAAAGAGAAATATGTTTTTAATATTTTCTATAATTAGGTAGTAATCAGTTCATTTATATGTTTGTAATGGTAAACAGACAGTTCATATAACCAGTTCATATAAATTGTCTTATATATATATTTTATCATCTTATTTTGTAGAGTTACAATTTGATTAGGCCCCAATATTGAGTATTTATCTGTCATGATAGAATAAACACATTTTGTTCCATAATTTGACGCTATAAACTTCACACTAGGTCTCCGAGGTAACGGGCATGGAGCTGAGCTCAGTGTCCGCATCGTGTTCACTGTACGGTCCGGGCGACCACTTGCTGGTGCACGACGACATGCTGTCGGACCGCCGCGTCGCCTTCATACTGTACCTCGCGCCCTGGAGTGTTTCTAATAGGCCTGCTGGCTCCGTGGAGAACGGCAGCGGGGACTGTCATAAACAGGTAGGATAAAACATAAAATAAAATAGCCTTTATTTCAGAACTTTCTTAATATAACATTGATTATAAATTTTACAATAAGTCACGCAGTTCTCTGTGCCTTTTGGCAAAGGCCTCCTCTAACCGATGCCATTCACTTCTGTCAGCTGCAACTCTTGTCCAATACGGACCCAGAGTACAGCTGATTTCATCCTCCCATCTTCTAAACTGGCGTCCTCTCCTGCGCTTTCCATCTCTAGAATACCAGACTGTCACTCGCTTGCTCCATTTGTCTGGTACCTCTCAGCAAGTGGCCCGTCCACCTCCAGTTTTGTTTGTCCACTCTAGATAGAATGTCTGTTATTTGCGTTTTAGATCTTAGATCCTCACTTCTTATTCTATCCCTTAGACTTACTCCTGACATACTTCTCTCTATAGCCCGTTGACAATGAGTCAGCTTATCCCTTAGCTGCGTCGTTAAAGACCAGGTAGGATAAGAACAGGGAGAAATATATATTTTTTTTTAGCCAGGTTGGCAAATGACTCTACCCCACCTGATGTTAAGTGGTGATAGAGTACGAACGCGAAGATAGCTGGTACAGCAGTTTTAACTGCCACACCAACCATCCTCACCAATTAATTAGAATAATTATCAATATCGACTATGCTGTAAAAAACACTCAAAAATTAAAAATGAGTTCACACATAATCAGTGAAATTAAAGGGTATCCAATAAGAAGGAATTCTAGTTATTCCTCGGAACCTTCTCCAAACTTGAATACAGAATTTTATTCATCTATAACAAAAAAGTAATTTGAATAAAAAGTTACAGTGGATTTCGGATATAACGACGATGAAGGGACCACTCTATTTATGTCGTTATATCCGGAAGTCGTTACAGGCAAAGGTTAAGAGATACAGACACGTACACATGTATAGTTTATATTCATATATAAATTATTTCCGCCATTTCTTAAAATAGTGAATGTGCGTCTAGCAACCATACTTATTCAAAAGTTAACTAAACCCAGTTACTACTTAGAATATCACTTTGTAAGTGAACCATAAATTTAAATCGGAAACGTACACACTTCTCTACCTACTTAGCTGATATCTATGAACAAAAGGTATTTAACTGCTAGATGTTCGCTATCCGGGCGAATGAACTGACCATTATGCTACCGCGGCCCTGAAGGCCGTGTCGAATTTTTTGTTTTAGATTTGATTTAAACATCTAGCAGTTAAATGCTTAAAATATGAAAATATTTTTAAAAGAATCTATATAAGTTATTTGGTGTTTCTGTTGCCATTATGCATTAAATGCTAGTATGCTAGTGGTGTCGATTCTAGCATGATTCTCTAAACTTAAAACTAAATTTAACATAAGTCTCTCCTTTTCATTCTGTGTAGAGAATGATAAGGATGCACTGTTGTCAAATTTAAGGTTTAGAAAATCATGTCAGAATCGAGACCATTAAATGTGTTGGTAAATAAATTCCTCATCTTTCTTTTGTCCCTATGCATTTGAGACTTAAAGTTTGAATTCGACATATTGAAATGGTCATCCGTACTTCTCCAACTTACAAAGTTAATATTGTGTAATAAGAAAGTTCTTTTGAATCATCCAATAGGGGTGATGACGGGGTACAGTAAACGAAATTCTATTTAGTCCCTCAGTTAGATGATCAAAAAATAATGGACACGTATTTTTTTTGGGCAATCAGGCAAAAAATGACAAAGTTTGGGAGTAGGGGCTCATGACGTCACTTTTTAGTGAATTTTCACTTAAAAGTGTACCCAAACGTGACGTCATGCGACTTTTCAAATCAATATATCTCTGCAATGTTTATATTATGTGAAAAAAGAAAAAATACGTGTCCAACACTTTTTGATAATCTACCTGATAAACGAAGAAAAAAAAATTTAGTCATCATCCCTATTATACAGAAATCAAATTCATTGTCATTTTTCAATTTGACAACTCTGTATATAATACAGGGAGAAAAAAACAGCCCTTGCTGAGTTTCTTGCCGGTTCTTCTCAGTACAAGGTCTCCCGCCGTAGATTTGCGAACCGATGGCGTAGCTTTTCGACATTCACAAGTGCTTGTAACAGCCTAGACTGAATAAACGATTTTTATTTTTTTTTTTTTTTTTTAAATAATTTTTTTTTTTAAATTTTACATGATGCGACAAAAGTTCATGGATTTATCGAGTGTTTATTTGAAGAGTATGCTCTGGATGAGACGAGTGTTATGCAGGAAGCTGACACCATCAACGTGGATGAGCTCAGTGATGGGTGGGCGTCGCACATGGGTGGGGCACTGGAGCTTCTGTCGTGCGATGACCGCGGCCCGGCCAACGTGTCCCATCGCGTACTGCCGAGGAATAACATGCTGGCCTTCTTTAGGGTGCACACCGATTCCTACCATCAGGTATTAGTCACATAATAAATAATAATAAATATTTCCAACACTCACACCAATTAGGGGCGTCCATAAATTACGTGAGATGTTTAAGGGGAGGAGGGGGTCGAGTCAAATCTTAGATGAGATTTGAATCTTACGTTGGAGAGGGGGGGGGGGGGGGGTCTCGGCAAATATCACGCAATTTTTTTTCACAGTAGTATCTATTAAGTATTCTATTGTTAATTTTTTATTACACTTATAACTCTCAGTCTCTCAATATTGATTATTAGTCTTAACTAGTCGCAAATAAAAGCATGAAGCATTTTTTTTCTTTTTACAATAACACTCCAACGCGTTTACGAAAGAAATCCACATTTTGAAAAATCTCACGTGAGATTGGGGGAAGGGGGAGGGGGTTAAATAAAATCTCACGACATCTCACCAGGGGGGGAGAGGGAGGGACAGAAAACCAAAAAAAAACCTCACGTAATTTCTTAGCCTAGCTCCAATGTAAGCACTATAAGGCTTGTGTTATGGGGTACTAGGGTACCTCATCGGAAAAATCATCGAAAACAATTTATCGAATTACAATTCTTCGAACACAATTCATCGAAAAAATAATTCGTCGAACAACAATTCTTCGAACGGTAATTCCCCGAAAAACAAAAAAGTAAACCATTCTGATCCAGACAACCCATTTATTGCCCCAGACGGTACTCACACGCAGAGGATCGAGTCCCAGTGGAGGGCTGTCAAAAGATATTTCAGAAAAGATAATTATAACCATCCGCACGATTTTGCAGATTCGATTGTAGAATATTTGTGGCGCAGAAACATAATTAAATATAAAAAGACGCGTTTTTAGAAACAATTAATGCCATAAAACATGTATACAAAATAAATTAATGTGTAGAATTTCATGCTTTTTATATTTCATATTATTAGTGACAGAACCGAAGTGGGGCGGGGGGGCGAAGCCCCCCCCAATGAATAAAGTCTAAAGAGTTCATTAGGTTAGGTTAGGTTAGTATGATGACCAAAAACGAGCGAGCCGAGCGAGCGGAGCGAGCGTGCCGCGGCAGCGGCCGCTGAAGCGCCAGAAACGACACTTTTGTACGTGCAACGTTTTTTTTTTCATACTTTTTCCCCTTTCCCCACCTCGTTTTAGCCTCCCTCCTGCTAAATTTTCATTTTTTTTTTGGAATTACCGTTCGAAGAATTGTTTTTCGACGAATTGTTTTTTCGATGAATTGTGTTCAAAGAATTGTAATTCGATGAATTGTTTTCGATCAATTTTCCGCAAATCACTAGGGTAACGGATAGAATACATATACTGTACATATATAAGTATGTTAATATAGAAATAGATATTAAACATCCATGACTGGAGTACAAATGCTCGTATTCATCACACAAACATCTGCCCCCACCGGGATTCGAACCCGGGACCTCTCGAGTCGGCGACACCATGAAACCCCGCGTACAAACCACTCGGCCACGGAGGTCGTCGTCACATCTATTCTGCATATTTGTATAGTAGTGATAGACACTAGTTATTTCTTCATCATCATCATCTCCTATTAATGTCCCCACTGCTGGGGCACAGGCCTTCCCTATAGATGGAAAAGGATATTAGGCTATGACCCACCACGCGAGCCTAGTGCGGATTGGCGGGTGCTTATAACGATTGCAGATGCAGCTGGATTCAACGGGTGCCTTCCGAAGCACGGAGAAGCTCGAGATTGTAAATTTTTGGTCACCCATCCAATGACCGACCACTGCGAAAGTTGCTTAGCTTCAACTAACGCAGCCGAACGCGCTAACCAATTGCGCCATCGAGCATCCTTTTTTGGTTAATGTTGAACGGAAATCCCATGATCGGCGTTTCGATCGCAGTTTTCTCGCTCCGCCCACTTGATCGCAGTTTGCGTGGAACCACTTTTAGCGCAGTTACTTTTAGCGGAGTTAGTTAGAAATAAAGGTTCACTGCTCGTTCTCCCGAGGTGATAGCGTCATAATATGTAGCCTATATGTTGACCCGACTTCTTAATAATATTCGTGCCAAAGAAGTAAATCCATGCAGTACTTTCGGAGTTTATGCCTGACCTATATACAGACAAACAGACAAGAATTCTAAAAACTATGTTTTTGGCTTCGGTATCGACTGTAGATCACATCCCAAGCATTATATAATCTCTTATCTATTAGACAAGTCCGTCTGTCTGTGGTGCTGTTTCAGCGGCCAAACCGTAAGAGATAGATAAAGAGAATATTTAAGTTATAAGTTAAGAATAGTCTGATAAGACTACAAACCGGATTTGAGTAACGTAGCACTTCCGGTTTTCGAGAAATCAGGTTCACTGGTTTGCTAGTATATTATAATATAAATAACACAATTTCTATTTATACTGTATGACACATCAATCAAAATGCAGGAAAACAATTAATGTATATTTAATCATTATGCAATGAAAGGTGACTTCATGAATCATCTCTGAAGTCATTTTTCAATTTGACGACTCTGTAAATAATAAAACAGCGAGAAAAAAACAGCCCTTGCTAAGTTTCTTGCCGGTTATTCTCAGTACAAGGTCTCCCGCCGTAGATTTACGAACCGATGGCGTAGTTTCTAGACATTCATGAGTGCTTATAACAGCCTAAACTGAATAAATGATTTTGATTATTCCTTTAAAAAAATATTCAATGTACAGTTTTGAATTTCCTACCATCTCTTATCTATTAGACAAGTCCGTCCGTCTGTGGTGCTGTTTCAGCGGCCAAACCGTAACAGATAAGGAGAATATTTAAGTTATAAGTTAAGAATAGTCTGATAAGACTACAAACCGGATTTGAGTAACGTAGCACTTCCGGTTTTCGAGAAATCAGGTTTTGGTGAACATTTGGTTCACTGGTTTGCTAGTTTTATTATATTATGTATAGATCCGTTGCGTTTTCCTCATTACATCAGGTAGAGGAGGTGGTATCCTTGGAGCTGCCCCGGTTATCCATCAACGGATGGTTCCACGGACCCACTGCTGGTGACCCCGCGTGCCCCACGCAGGCGCCCACGATACTACCCACGCCAGCGCCGGAATACATTGCGCCGGACAATAGCCCAGTGAGTTATTAACTATCGATTCTAATAAAGTATTTTTGAAGTTATACTTCTTTAGGCGCGTTATGAAAAAATTATGAGAGTAAAATTTTCGCTAAAGCGCTAAAGCGACCAACTTCATGCTGTTACTTTTGTGTTTACCGCACATTAAGAAAATCTACCAACAAAATAGAAATAGAATCTCTATTTAGTGGATGCTAACGACTGCATTGTGAAGGCCTATCAAAAGTATTTATTAATCTGGAACAACGGAACCAAAGCGCGATTCAGGAGACTACAGCGCCATCTCTTGACCATTGGTGTAGTAGAACCAAAAACCACATCTTTATTTTTTGTAATAAAGTAACAGTTATAGGTATTCATATTTATAATATTTATCCACATGTTTCTAGTTTGTATATTCGGAATACGTGTTTGAGTTTCATACAAGTGCAAATCACATATGTTCTAATAAATTATATTCAGTAGCGATTTTAATTGAATATTTTGATTATTTATTTATTTTTTCAAATTAAAACTGAATATTATTGACTGTGTCCTATTCCAGACTTTTTATTAATTTATTGTAATTAATTATTTGCATGCAATTAAAAACTAATTTTAAACGATGCAAAGAAGGATAACTTCTCACGCGCCTACATAAGTACACGCACCTATTTTTTTTATTGTATAACCAGCCATTTGCACTTCGTTAAAATGTACCATGGATCATTAACTATCCAGTTAAGTATAATGCTATTCAAATAAGAATAGGAAAGCCAATGACCTCCATCTGTCAAATGACGCTTGAAAAGTACGGTTTGCAATAAATCTTGGAACTCTTTTTTAGCACTCAGCTAATTCTAGAATAAAAAAGCAATCATTTGTAAACAAACATGACGACGATGACAACTCCGGTAGTTATGCAGAGCGGTGTTTTTTTGCTCAATCTTAATAAATAAATTTTATTAATAAAATCTGATGTTTTTTCTCACTAAATCTTAGTAAATAAGTATTATATTTTGTTTCAATTGACAGCTTTGACATCACAAAATGGCGCCCAGTCGATCCTATTCTTAGTTGAATCGCATTATATAGTATCCAGTTATCAAAGTGATTATGTCACGAAGTAATAGGATATTGAGTGCAGCAAAATACTACAAATTATACATAAAAGGTTGCATAATCTTACATATCTAAGGTTCCCTTTGAATTCCAGTTGTATCTGACAAGTTTTGGAAAACGATCTCACGTTATTGACTAATGTTTATGGAGTCCATAAAAAGTGGATATTCATCATTCTGGTAAAAATTGTGGGTTACCTACAATGCGAAGAGATGGCGCTGCCTTGCAGCTTAAGGCTAGGAAAATTTCGACGCGGCTAATAGGGCCGTAGTAGCATAATGGTCAGTGCATTCGCCCGGATAGCGAAGGATGCGGGTTCGAGTCCCGTCCGCTGCCTGGTCCGCGTGGATTTTTTTCTAGTAAACTTTTCTTTAGTTTTGAACATCTAGCAGTTAAATGCTTAAAAAATAAATAAAATCATAAAAATAACTCAATCAAAAACTCCATTTTTCAGTTGCCGCGAAAACGTTTCTCTGGGCAATGTGGTGTCTCACTGGGGTGTGACGTCACACGAATATCATTAAAACGTCAAACGATACAATGTCATGTCGCTTTGACCGGAAGTTTGCTAATGTGTGACGTCATTTTAAGCTCCGCCAATCCCAGGCGTTTTCAATCACGTGACAATACATATGAAAACTATTATATTTTTTGTGGGTTTTTAGTGAAATTATGAATATTTTTTCTGTAATAATAGTAAAACCCCCTGCCAATATTCATTCTAAATACAGATGCTAACAATTATAGTCTGTCCATTATATCATTATCTTTTTGACAGATTGATCGAAGTATAAATAGTGACACCCTATCACATATCTCGTTCGATTTAAAGTTATAATCGAATTTATTCTAGAACATTAATTGATTATAAGTATCGAAATTATTTTAGTTATCAAAAATACTAGTACAGAGTACAGTACAGAGTAAGAGTACAGAGTAAGTACAGAGTATTAATCTAATGAGATTTTGTAATAAATTATTACAAAATCTCATTAGATTTATTATTTTACCTAGTACAAATATTTGTGTGATGAGCACGAGTATTTGTTCTGTGTCTGGGTGTGATTTATCTATATTATGTATATATATATACAACAAAAAAAAGAAGTATACTTTTTATATGTTTGTTAATCCTAATATTAATACTCTGTACAATTTCATTTATTGATTATAATTAATAACTTCATTTTAAAAAAGGTTTAAAAAAAAACTATATCTTTGACCTTTATTTTCCTTACAATTTGGTTGTACTCATTTATTTCTACCGATTATTTGTAATCTGTGGCACAATCTTAGTAATCATTATGTGTGGCACATCACTAAGTGGGCGGTACCCGTCCATGAAGTACAATATTATTTGTATGACAGTTTAACATAAACAATACAAAAGGAGATTGGTCAAATTGGCCTAAATGCAAATAAAATATTGACATATACAGTAATTCTTGGCGTAATTTATACTTTATTTTACAGTCATTAGATTTTAACGGCCACCTTTAAATAATATATTAATTTTAAAAAAGGACTTCTATTTTTACCGGTTTGGAAAACATACGAATCATTTTTATTGGCTATGGGTGTAGTAACATTCACAAAGACTGATCGAGGTTGTTTATATAACATCAAAACAAATCTATTTTGTAAAGATTGATAAAATATTTTTTTTTTTATTACACGGGTGGTATTAATATCCACAACTTTATTATCATTTTTACTACATGCAAATGTGCTAAGACAATTAATATAGATGGTAGGCGACATCATAAAGTCTATTGCCGTACATTTTTTGCCAAACACCTAAATAAACACATTATAAGGTGTGATACACTAAAAATCTAAAATATGGTTATAATAAAAACATAACAAAAATAATGAAGCTGCTGAAGATATGGCTGTATAACCTACAGCTCTTAGCTTTCTTTGATTAACGAGAGTTCAATCAATCAATCAATCAATCAATCAATACTTTATTGCGTATTGATTGATTGATTTTTGTAGTTTAAAAATTCTCTCTAATCTGTGGCTCATTCACAATCATCACACAGTTTCTGTTCGTGTTTTTAAAAACATGCACATATCTGTTATTTTACATGCTCTATATACCTGAATCTAATACATAATATCGGTACTTGGCTTGATTGCCCTATTTTCCTATATAAGTTATTTGGTTTTTATTATTCTAATACCTATGTGCCTATTTGCAAACATAACCTCAAAATCATTCAGTGTATATGGTTTATAGAAGTTCTCAGGAGTGGCCGTCGATAATATTCGTTTCTACGGTAATTTATATATAATTTCGAATCTAGGAAACAATTTTTCATGGTTATTGGTTTTTAGGCCAAACATGTATGGAAGCTGAGCAATCTCCTTTCATGGGTGTCGATCTGTCAAAAACATAATAATAGAATGGACAGACTATAGCATTTTATTTTTGATATTGTCAAATACCCTTTTGGGGGAGTCCACAATTTTCATCATATGTTGTGTTGTCGGTTCGGGGCTTCAAATAATACAACTGACTACGATTTAAGAGAGCATTTGTTTGATATATAAAGCTTTATATATTGGGAGAGACAGAACCCTCTTTCCCACTGGGCACTTTGGGCAAGTGCCCAGTGCCTCGCGATCGATAGGGCCCCCCCTCAGATCAAATACAAAGTCCCTAGTTCCTGTTAAATCACCAAACGGAAGTCATAGGGGCCCCATTATCCTTATATGCCCAGGGCCTCCAATAGGTCAATGACGGCACTGGGGAGAGATGCGTATATTTAGTACACTCACTATAACCATTTTGTAAGTTGTTAGGTTTAATTAAATGTACTATATTCCTCGTACCTCCTCACGGTCTAAGAGTGCATTTTATGTCCCGCCATATCGCACAAATTACACAAAAAACTCTTATTTGAGGCGATCACTTGATTTTTATAACAAAAACCTGACCAATTTTGTCATTTTTTCAAGTACTTATAATAATTACAGTAAACTGGTTCGCGAGATGTTGTACTAGTAGATTGTAAAGGTTTTGAAACATTTTGTAAACAGTAACTAAGAAGTTTCTCGTAGACTCAATTTGTTTAAACATAATATTAATTTAAGTTATTGTACTATAGGTCTAGTCATACATTATTTAATTTAAGCAAATATTACTGTTAGAGACCGTTTGTTACCTAAATCAATAAAATAAAATAAAATAAAATAAAATAAAATAAAATAAAATAAAATAAAATAAAATAAAATAAAATAAAATAAAATAAAATAAAATAAAATAAAATAAAATAAAATAAAATAAAATATTTCTATGTAAGATTAGTCGCACCGCAACATCCCACACTGTGTCATTGCCTTTATGTGTCTCCGCTGTTCGCATGCGCAGAGACTGACATTGTTGTTTCTGTTTGTTAATCTACCTACATTTTTGAATTGTTAGTCGACACGATGTAATGTCTTTTTTTGTTAATTATGCTTTGTATTGGAGTTTACTCCTTAAGAATCGATTTTCATATATGAGGGGCCCGGTATGAGAAAAATGTGAGGAGTGAAATCTATCGATGAACTAGCAAACCCCGCGAACTCCGTTTCGCCACCAGATGGCTTCGTTTTATGTAACATTTCGTTTGGTGATTAAAAGAAGATTTTTTTTAATTTTTCCTGAATTTTCTTTGCTATAAACCTCACGGAGCCCGAGACCTTTCCAACGAATGCAAAACCGTGGAAATCGGTTCGTGCGTTCTGGAGTTATAGCGTCAGGAAGGAAAACCCGACTTATTTTTATATAGTAGATGACCTCGTTACGTTTTTACTGTCTACGCTGCAGCAGCCGTAGTGCTACACCGTAGCACAGTATCGTAGCGTACCTTTATTTATGCACATTTGAATTTGTCTATTGTAAAAAGTTTAATGTAAAATATTTCGTCGATTAGTTATAATAAATGTATATGAAATGAATAAATATGTATATTATTTTCATTAATTTGTTAATTTACCCTTTCATACAGTATCAATCTTTTTTAAGTTAAACAAACTCTTTTTGCGTCCGGTTAGACTATCGAACTTAAGGAGTAAACTCCAGTTGTGCGTCGGAGCTGACACACATATTTTTTTTGTAAATTCTTTTGAGAAAATAAATGTCTTTAACCGTTATGGGGAAAAACATATTCTGTATGGCCCCTCGAATGTATAATAAACTCCCGACATATATAAAAGAATTAAATTTTAATTTATATAAGAAGAAAATTAAAAATATATTATTAGATAAATGTTATTATGATGTATCGGAATTTTTAAATGACAAATTTTTAATTTTAATTATGTTTTATTATTATTATTTCTATTTTTTTGATTAATTTTAACATTTTTATATTGAATTGAAATCATTTGAATTTGACATGTTTCATTATTGAATATTAAGATTTTTGACATGATATTCAAATATCCTGCTGAATTTGTATGCCCATATCGGCACGACATGTTATGCACCACTAAAATCACAACACCTTACTTACACATTTTTTTATTTTTTCTTTATTTGGGAAACAAACAATGAATTAATACTTGTACCTAGATCTAATTAACAAACATACATCAATAAAGTTTCCACTATAATATAAAACATATAAAGGAGTTCAAGTTAAAATTGAGAAAGAAAAAAGACGTTAATGTTTTTACCAATAAAAAAAAAAAAAAAAAAAAAAAAAAAAACAAGTCTGGTTGGTTACAATTAATGATTAAGAACCATATCGTGGATATATTTTTTACAATTTTTGAGTGAACAGTTAAATATGTCGATTGATGTGAACCTATACTTATAATCAGTACAAGACCTTACCACGAAAGTATTAGCAGTATATTTGGTGCTAATTATAGGTAAACTAAATAAACTTTTTGAACGGGAGCCTGCCCGAGGGCATCTTAAACCAATGCTATTCAAACATGTTGTCTCAAATAAATATTTTCTTTCTTTCTTTCTTTCTTTCGTAATCTGCTAACTGTATATTAATTGGAACCTTTACGTTTCCCGCGCAGGTGTTGTTAAACGAATGGATAGAAGCCACATACATGTCGCCTCGTTGTCGCGCTCAAATACAAACTCAAATGGAGCGGTCGAGCGAGGCCTGCCTCCGGGCTTTGTTACTGCCTCGCCAGTACCGGAGGCTGTTAAACGCGCTTCAATCGCCCGGTGAGTATACATCATCATCAATAAATAAATAAATATTTCCAACTCTTACACCAATTAGCCTAGCCCCAAAGTAAGCACTGTAAGGCTTGTGTTATGGGATGCTAGGGTAACGGATAGAATACATATACTAGTACATATATAAATATATTTATATAGAAATATATATTAAACATCCATGACTGGAGTACAAATGCTCGTATTCATCACACAAACATCTGCCCCCACCGGGATTCGAACCCGGGACCTCTCGAGTCGGCGACACCATGAAACCCGGCGTACAAACCACTCGGCCACGGAGGTCGTCAAATAATATACAATGAAATAATCTCTGATCTATTAGACAAGTCCGTCCGTCCGTCCGTCCGTCCGTCCGTGGTGCTGTTTCAGCGGCCAAACCGTAAGAGATAGGTATAGAGAATGTTTAAGTTATAAGTCAAGAATAGTCTGATAAGACTACAAACCGGATGTGAGTAACGTAGCACTTCCGGTTTTCGAGAAATCACGTGATTTCTATTTCAAACGAAACTACACTTTTTTTTTTGGTGAACATTTGGTTCTCTGGTTTGCTAGTATAAACTAACAGACCTAAAATCGAGGCGACAACAACTAGAAGCCATAGTTTTTATTTTAAAAAAAACAAAACTCACCTCTTACGTCTGGAAAGGGCTCAAAGGGCTGTTATTAAAATAATTAATTTCAAACCAATTACCTTTCCAACATCTGAACTCTATGCATGCTATGCTCTATGTGGTAGCATAATGGTCAGTGCATTCGCCCGGATTGCGAAAGGTGCGGGTTCGAGTCCCGTCCGCTGCCTGGTCCGCGTGGATTTTTTTCTAATAAACTGTTTCGAACGGCGTCTGTGGCGCTCTTCCCTGTAACCGTTCGAAACGGTGCGGATGGGTGCGGATGCCTATGGGGCTGGCAGCTTCAATGAAATCCCTTTTCTTAGCTTGAGTGCGCTTGTTGCTTGTTGCTTGTTGCATGTGCAGTGGTGTAAGATGAAAGATGAAAGAGATCGAGGCTATTTCGGTCACTATCTATGTAGGCCACAAGTGTTCGCACTTAGCGCTATATCGCTGCGCTAGTGCGCCTATCGGAGCAATGTGAGAGGGACAGCCTGTAATGCTGTTTCTCTCACGGTGCTATTTCGATTCTCGCTTTGTGCGACGTTATAGAGGCCGTGGGCCTATCCTAGCGCTGTGCGAGAGAGACTGTAGTGCTGTCTCGCACAGCGTTGTGTTACTGAATGTGTGTACCTACCTATCGTGAAATGAATGTTGCGCAACTCTTTTATTAAAATAACAATAAATTTACATTTCACTTATAACTAACTATGACTACTATTTACAACACAAGATTATTAAATTATTAAATTAGGGCGGCGTCTGTTCTGTACATCTCTCCCGCCGTGCGTCGTCCGCTTGCCGGGCGTCGCATCCAGTTTCTTCACGAAGGCCGCCGTCTTGGTATCCTGGTTCTGTAGTGGGCTGTCCCGTCGGTAGCACGATGAGCTTCTTCACCGGTCTTCTGAGCGTGCCGCCTTTGGTGCGCACGTCGACCACCCGTGTGACGCCGTCTGGCCCCGGGTACGTGTGTGTTATGAGTCCCCGGGGCCACAGGTTGCGTGGCAGCGTCCCGTCGGCGATAAGGACGACGTCGCCTGTCTTGACGTTCGGTCCCCTTCCACGGGGCTCCCGCCGGTTTTGAAGTTCCGGCAGGTACTCCCGTATCCATCTGTTCCAGAATGCGTTGGCGAGCTGTTGCGAGGCGCGCCAGTGTGTGCGCCCGAGGAGGTCGGTCTCGGAAAACTTCCCGAGTGGCGGCACGCGTGCTGAGCCGCCGAGGAGAAAGTGGTTCGGTGTTAGCGCTTCTTCGTCGTCTGGGCTCACCGGCACATGTGTGAGTGGCCGGCTGTTGACTGTGTACTCTACTTCGGCGAGCAGTGTGTGCAGTACTTCTTCCTGTGGGTGCCGTTGATGCAGAGTGGTTGCGAGTGCTTCTTTTACGCTGCGTACGAGTCTCTCCCATGCCCCCCCCATGAAGGGTGCGGAGGGGGGTATGAACCTCCATTCGATTGTCTTCTTACTTGCTTCTTCTTGCGTTGCTGCGTCGATCTGTTGCCGTAACTCTTTAGCGGCCCCTTGCAGGTTCGTTCCATTGTCAGACCAAACTTCAGCTGGGCAGCCGCGGCGCGCGATCATCCGTCGTAGTGCCATCACTGCGGAATCGGTGGTGAGTGACGCCGCTATTTCCAGGTGCACCGCCCTTGTGGTGAGGCAGGTGAACAGCGCGACGTATCTCTTCTGTGTCGCACGACCCACTGTCACCGTTAGTGGGCCAAAGTAGTCGAGCCCACAGTAGGTGAACGGACGTTGGTGGTGTGCGAGCCGGGTGTATGGGTGATTACCGGTGCTCGGCGCGGGCGGCGTGTTTCTTCTTATGCGGCACGGTATGCAGCTGTGTATGACGTTTCTTGCTGTCGGTCGTAGGCGTAAAATCCATAGTTGCTGTCGACATTCGTTGATCGTCGCTTCTACGCCGCTGTGATGTAGCTGTCTGTGTACGTAGTCTATGTACAGTCGCGCCGCGCGGTGATTGCCGTCAACTATCGGCGGTCGCTTTATGCTGTCTTCTATGTCGCTCGCGGCGTCTATGCGTGTCTTGAGCACGACGACTCCGTTTATTATTTCGAACGCGAGCGTGCGCAATCGACTGTTGCTGTGCGGCGGTTTTCCGCGGCTTGCGTCTTCTATCTCTCTCTTGAAGGCCTTCTCTTGGCTGGCACGTACTATCAGCGTCTCGGCGCGCCGTAATAACTCGGCGCCGATAGGTATATACGGCGTCGCTATTGCCGTCTCTTTCTTCTTGGGCGCGACGCGGGCGTCCGGTTTTCGTTGCTGCCAGGCTGGGTCCTTTTCTTTATTTTTCTTATTTCTTCTGTAGTTTACTGCGTCTTTGCTTTTCTTTTTTCTTGTTTTGCAAAGTTCGACGAATTGCAGTACCCTGGCGGTTGCGCGTACTAATTTTTCCCACTTCGAAAATCGCTCGCTGTTAGGGAGTGCGTTGCGTAGTGCGGGCGTCGATTCGCGCTCTATTACTGTGTGCGTTCTTTCTTCGCCTGTTTCTTTGGTGAGCGCGAAGTCCGCTGTAGGCCATGTGGATGGGTCGCCGAATAAAAACTCCGGCCCGCGAAACCAGCGATGCGTTATATCGATGTTGCTTGGCACGTTTCGCGTGGCGTCGTCGGCGACGTTCTGTTTGGTCGGTATCCAGCGCCATTCGTTTGTCGCGCTGTTTTCTTCTATTTCAGCTATCCGGTGGGCGACGTATGGGCGATAGTTGCGTGCGCCGTTTTTCACCCAAGTGAGCACGGTTCTGCTGTCTGTCCAAAAGAATTTTGCATCCGGTTTCTCGTCGTGTTCCTCTATGACTGCCGTAGCCATCCTGCTCCCCATGGCGGCCGCCTGTAGTTCCAGCCGCGGTATGGACGTGAGCTTGAGCGGTGCGACTCTCGCCTTTCCGACTATGAGCGATAAGGTCGCTTTTCCCTCGGCGTCGACCATCCTCCAGTAGAGTGCGGCTGCGTAAGCGGTTTCGCTCGCGTCGACGAATACGTGTAGCTCTCGACGCGTGGCGCGGCTGTAGCCGATGTGGTGGCGCGGTATCGCTATCTTCTTTAACGATTTCAGGTGCTGTAGCCACTCTTCCCATTGCTGTGCCAAATCGGTATCTATGACGTCATCCCATCCAGTGCCTCGGCGCCACGTTTCTTGTAGTATCTGTTTCGCTCGAATGGTGATCGGTGAGGCGAGGCCGAGCGGGTCGAATAGTGACATGATGATCTTGAGCATCTCGCGTTTGGTGGGCGTGGCTTCTTCTTTAGGCAGCCGAGTTGAGTCGAGATTGAAACTCAGACTGTCTGTGTTTGGATTCCACAGTGTACCGAGTACGAGAGACGTGTACCCCCCGTCGTGTAACCTAACCGTTCTCTGTGGTTCTGTGGTGTCGCTAGTGTCGAGTGCTTGAAGTACGCGTCGCGAGTTCGATTTCCATTTTCTTAACTCGTAATGGGCTTCTTTTTGTATCTTCTTTACGTCGCTCGCTATTTGTATGGCTTCCTTCTCTGTGTCGAAGCTCTGCAGATAATCATCAACGTAGTGGTTTTTGATTATTGCTCTGTGCGCCGCCGGGTGCGTATCTTGGTACTTGTCGGCGTTTCTGTTCTTTACGTAGATGGCTGTTGCGGGCGATGACGTAGCTCCGAATATGAGCGATGTCATGCGGTACTGTTGCGGCTGTGTGCCGCCTCGCTCTTCGCCTCTCCACAGGTAGCGAAGTGCATCTCTTTCTTGTTCCCTTATCTTTACTTGCATGAACATTTCCGCTATGTCTGCAGTGACTGCTATTCGATGCTGTCTGAATCGCATCAGTACGCCGGGTAGAGACTGCAGCAGATCGGGCCCGGTGAGGAGGTAGTCGTTTAGGCACACTCCTCTCGTCTTGGCGGCCGCGTCGTGTACAACTCGTACTTTGTCCGGTTTCATCGGGTGGAGTACGGCGAAGTGCGGTAGATACCAAGTGCGGTTTCTTGTCGGCTGTGCTGGAGCAGGCTCGGCGTACCCCTTCTTCACCAGTGCGTTCATTTGTTCGGTGTATTTTTCTTTCAGCTGTGGGTTTCTGTCTATTTTCTTTTCTATGTTGAGAAGTCTGCTGTGTGCGTTTTCATAATTGAGCGGCATCGATGAGTCTGTCTGTTTCCATAGCAACGCCGTCTCGTAGTGTCCGTCTTCTCTCTGTAGCGTGTTTTTATGTAACGTGTCGAGCGCGCGTTGTTCCTCGCTGTTTCGTGGCTGTTTCGGTGCGATGGTGAGGGAGTCGATTGCGAAGTACTGTCTTAGTTGCTCGTTCATGTCTGCGTCTGCATCGGTGACGTGGTTGACGTAGTTGACGTGTTGACCCAGAGTGCGCGTGTGTGCACCGTGTAGCACCCAGCCGAG